TCCGTTCCCAAAAAGGTGACACTTGAGTAGAAAGCAAAAACCTTGTCCTGGGAAGAGGAATTTCATCCTTCACCTGTTTGATGAAGTTTGTGGCAGAGAAATAAAGTTCCTGGGGTACAACAAGTACTTTCACAGTAATTAGTACCCAATGAAAGAGGAACTTTCAAACGAGGCCATTTGTGCAGACAGGTCTCATGGTGTATTTGTACCAGGGAACAACAGGAAGATGTTGCTGGATTATACATGTTGGTTCCTCATTGGGTGTATGCTGATATCATGTGTACAGTAGTTTATGGCCAAAACTTACTACTGGCTGTTGAGACATGGATGTGCTGGCAAAGAATGTAAATACTGAGAGCCAAGGTCATGCAGGTGGCTAATAGGAAAAGCCTTGTGTAACCCAGGAACAACTCTGGGTTGTTTGATGCCACAAGTACACAACCAAATCTGTCTGGACAGATGGCCTGGCAGCCTATAAAAACTGACAATGACAAAGTTCTGTTCCTCACTTGAAAGTTAATTTATTTTAAATAAGCTTGAAAGTGTGTGTTTCTGTTTCATTGTGTAGTGCTGCCTTGGATAGAAGTAGTCCTACTCCAAAATCTTTGTTTGTGTGCCAGAAACTTGATAAAACACATGGAGGACACAGTTTTTTTTTTGTCTACACATAACCTTTAGCAGAGATGCAGATATGCGGATATCCACAAATATGGATAGCTGAATAAAACCTTGCTGTTGGATGCTACAAGTACACAACCAAATCTGTCTGGACAGATGGCCAGGCAGCCAGACTGCAAAAATAGTAGATAATGATTAAGTTCTGTTCCTAGCTTTAAAATGTGTGTTCCTGTTGTACTGCTGACTTGGGCAGTAGTGGTTCAATCCCATGAGGTTTAAGTGTGGGAGGTACTTCATGAAATGTCTAGAGGGAACTGCCGGTTTCCAGCGGAAGTCCTGCCTCCGGTGGCCAGCTTGGGAACCACTAAATCTCAGATCAAAGATGACGTCTGGACAATGGAGGCAGAAATCCCAGGACCAACAGGCGTGTATGTGGACTTCTCCCAAAGTCCCTGGATTTTTTGCCCCTCGCTAAAGTCCATGATAAAGTGCTGTCTGGAACCACCCTAGATGGTATTGGTTTGTGTCTTCTTTTTTCACCTTCTTGAAGATAGGGACAACATTTGCCCTCTTCCAGTCTGCTGGGACTTCTGCTGTTCTCCAAGAATTCTCAAAGATGATTGGCAGTGGTTCTGAACTGGCTTCTGCTAGTTCCTTCAATACTCTTGGATGTGGTTCATCTAGCCCTGGAGACATGAATTCATTCAGAGTAGCCAGGTATTCCTGTCCAAGCATCTGTGGCCCACTCTACATATGGCGTCACTTATGTGGCATGGTCTGTATATCCTCTTCTTTTCCTGGCCAAGACATGTGGGTGGCACTGCTGACAATTTAAAGCAAATGCCAGGACTGGATGATCCTTGTCTCTTCTCTCTCTGATTCTTTGATCAAGGAGAAGAATGAGGCAGACAAGGAGGGCTAGACGGGTGAACAGCCGCGGAGAGAAAGGTTGACCCGGGAGGAGAAAGAGAAGGGAGTGAAGGATGCTTTTCCCTAGGTTACTGGTCGCAGGTGGGTTTCAGATGGGGGGGGGGTGGTCTCTATGTTTCATGCATATGTTGTGGTTGATTATTAACGGACTTTATCAAATTAATATTTTTAATTTCTACCTCTGTGCTACTTTTTCTAAAAAATAATGTTGTTCAATACGCAATTTTATTTTTCAAGTAATTCCCCTCCACTGGCTGCTGTTTGCTACTGGACATAATTCAAAGTGCTGGCTTTGGCCTATAAAGCCCTAAAGGGCTCCGGCACAGTTTACCTGTCTGAACGTATCTCCCTTTACAAACCACTGCGAAGACTAAGAACTTCTAGGGAGGCCCTGCTCTTGGTCCCGCCACTATCACAGGCACATTTGGTGGGGACGAGAAACAGGGCCTTCTCAATGATTCCCCCCCCCCCCCCGGTTCCATTCCTGGCAATATTAGATCACCCCCTCCCACCTGTCCTTCAGAAGGATTGTGAAGACCTGGCTGTGAGATCAAGCCTTTGGCACAGTGCAATGAGGCAATAATAAAATGGTGTCTTGAGATGGTTTTTAAGCAACTGATTTTAAAGTGGAAATAAGTGATTTTAATGTTTGCATATATTTATGGTTTATGTCCCAGCATTGAATGTTACTGTATATATGTTGGGCTCTGCCCTGAGTCCCCTGCAGGGTGAGAAGGGCGGAATATAAATGTTTTTTAAAAATAAATAAAATTTTCCCCTCTAAATGCACCAATGCACTGCAGGGGAAAATGGTAAAACCCAAGTTCTGGGATGAAATGTGGTACAGGGTGAGGCAGCCTAACTTCCTTTTTTAAAATGCGCGCCATTCAGTCGGTTGAAGACGTAGCAGAGCGCTAATGGTTTCGTTTGAGAGGTGGGAGTATAAAGTTTTGTCCTGACACAGTTCAGTCGCCATCATGCATTGAAACAGTGAGGAGCATGCTTTTACCGTTGAGACCTACTTTTCGAGCAGATTTGGAGTGGCCGGCCCGCTCTCCAGATTTGGCCCCTTGTGATTTTTTTCTATGCAGTTTTTTGAAATCCAGTGTTTATGTGAAGGACCCTACAAGATTTGAAGACCAAAGTCCAGGAAGAAATTGCCAACATAACGCCTGCTATGCTGGCAAGAGTCATGGCAAACGCCAGAAATCTGTTTACTCTGTGTATGGAGAATGGGGGACGTCACCTACCTAATTTGATCTTCAAAACTACGTAAAACCAAACTTTAGGTATGTGCCTACATTATACAAAAAGTAAAAAAACTCTGATTCATACAATGGGTTTTATTAAGTTTTGAAAAAAGGAAGTTATGCTGCCTCACCCTGTATATAGTGATCAATTGTTAAGTAAGAAATAAACCCACTCAGGCTTAGAGTTCAGTAAAAGAGTGAAGTATTAAATCTAAGGCCCCAACTACATTACCTTTATATTGCAGATTGAACTACATTATATGGGCGGTCTAGATTAATATAATGCAGCTTAACTGCATTGAACTGTCTACCCTAATCATATAATGCAGTCCAATCTGTCTTATAATTGCAATGTACATGAAGATTAAGACCAGATCCAGACAGGCCTCTATCCCAGGAGAATCCACGTTTTTAAAAAAGCAGATTTTCCTGGGGGCCTGTCCACACCCACCCCAGAAAGTGCACACTTTGTGGGGTGGGTGTCTAGATGTTCTCTTGGGATTGGCCTGGCAGAACGTCTGGAGGCCCTCCCCCCTCCACCCAAGCCCCCTGACCCCTTTGAAAAGTAATAAAAACTTACCCGTGTTCCATTACAAGCCTTGCCCGGCTTTCCTTGCAAGTAGAAATGATGTGCCAGGAGAGCGGGGAGGGAGGCATTTTCCTCCGGGGGAGGGGGGGGTAAGTATTAATATTTTTTATTATATTGCATTATTGTAGTTTGGGTTTTTTGGGTTTTTTTGCATTTGTCTGGGCATTTAATGTTTGCCTTTTTTATGTTGTAAACTGCCCTGAATCTGTATAAGACTGTTTCTGGTGACCAAGTGACAGCTCAATTAGTACAAAATCCACCGATTCTAGGATCTGTATTTCCCCTGGATAAGAAGAGGCATCTAAGTTTTCAACCCAAATTGTTCAACAGATTTCCTAGGTTAGTCTACCTATTTCTTGTACAAGGCGAACTCTGTAAGTACTGTATGGTGTTTGGAGAAGAAGGTGGGGATAAAAGTGGTCATTGGAAGCTTGGTGCATTGATTGCTAAACCATTTGTGTGATGGAAAGATGCAATACAAGTCTTCAATGGACACCAAAAAGCAGAGTACCATCAGAACAACTTATGCTTGGCTGAAAATGGCTTGCTAATTCACACTGGAAAACACCTTGATGCAACTCGTCAACATGATGAAGAAAATAAGAAGAAATCAGAAAGAATGAGCTTTAAATGCATTTCCTACTAAATGAAATTTCTCTCTACCATGCAATGCTGGTTTGTGGCAAAACAGATAGGGGAAATAGTGTTTTCCTACATAAAGATAAATATACATAAAGTGCCAAAAAGAGGCACTTGTAATACGAGAGTTATCCAGAAAGTAATGTTACAAGGCATGTAGCTCTTGCGGGGAATTTTCACTGGGGAGGTTGGTATCACTGCAGTGTAGCGGGAAGCCAGCGGAAGCGAACAAGCAGTGCCTGTCGTCAGTAGCTCAACTGGCATTGTGGTGAAGGTTAGAGATGAGCGTCCTCATTCCGTTTCCTTCCTATCTATCTCTTTCATAGCAATACGCATCCGCACACCAATCATGTAACACAAGAGTTGTTGACTTCATTTGGTTGGGATGTTTTAAGCCACCCCTCTTACAGCACCAATTTCGCACCCAGTGATTATAATCTGTTCCCTAAATTGAAGGAACACCTTGGTGGAAAAACACTTTTCCAACAAAGATGAGGTTAAAATCGAAGTGACAAACTTTTTGAAAAAGGTAGAGGGAGACTTCTATGACACAGGCATCAAAAACTCATCCCACTGATGACAAAATGTATTGAACTGAATAGTGATTACGTGAAAAAATAATGTAATACCTTGTAAGTTTTATGAAAATATATTCATTCTTTGTATTTTAAAAAACCTTGTAACCTTACTTTCCAGATATCCCTCATATAAAGAAGAAATTCCTGCCAATTAAAGCTGTATGATATCTTATTTCAGTCATACTTGCTTTTGATTGTTGATCATTAACATTTATATTTCTGAGGTGTGATGGCTCCTGGTCTACATCTACAAGGATGACACTTTTTTTAAAATGACACTTGGTGATACTGCAGATTCTTTGCCAATCTGGATGCTCAAGCAATGTCTTGGAGGTAGACCCAAACCATATACAGAATGAAACCTTCCACCTCCATATTCTGTGTTAGGTTATATTCCCAAAAACTCAAAACAACAGGATACCCCATCCAAAGTACAAAATATTCATTTGCAGCCTTTCAGTCTAATTCTATATTCTTTTTAAAATGAAGAAATGTGTACACCATATCTGGATAGGTATACATTAACTTTCTGCATTCAGACATGGTACAATAACATAGTTTCTATAAAACATGCTACAAATATATGGAAAGAGGACTAATCACTGTTTGTACTTCATGTATTTTTGTTCATGACCTTCTCAGTCCTGTGGTCTCTTTTACAAACTTGGTTCTTTTATTTTCCATTGTTTTTCTGAAATAGTCTGTTTGCTTGCATCCTGATTTTCATTTTCGTGTGTTTGTTGGGTCAGTCGCTGCTTATTCTTTATGGGTGGCAAGATGCTTGTATTTTTCTGCATGGCCTTCTCATTTCTGTGATCTCTTTTAGCAGCTTTGTCCACGGGCATTTCCAGTTCTTTTTCAGGAGTATCTTGTTTACTAACGTCCTCATTGTCATTTATTTCTTGCAATGATACAATGGATGACAGTTTTTGATTTGTAGCAGACACCTTTTCAGGGGGATCGGTTTTTACTTCTCCGTTGAGATGGTGCCAATTAATTTCATCTATATTTTAAAAAGCATACGGAAATATAAGTTAAAATATGAAAGCATAGACAGCAATTTTTCAGAAATTATTTAGATAAAAATCTAAAATTCTGACAAGATTTCAGAGAATCACATTTGCAAATTCGGAATATTTTCTTTCCATGAGAAAAAATGAAGGAAGGAAAGAAGTGGATACTGTAGTTTACCAAGTAGTGGTTCATAAAAATGGTGAGCTGAATGATAGGAGAATTGACAACTTCATGTTTGGGGTGAAGCAACAGCATTTCCCTATATGGTCCCTAGTTATAACAAAAACCAACACACTTCTGAAATTCTCAGCACAATCTCAACCACAACAATAATAAGTTTAGTAGCAGAGAAAGGCAGCTGTCTCCCATTTCCAAAGCAATCAGCAAGTGTGGATAAGCGTACAGAAAAACCAAAGACAATATTACTTTTTGGTAATTCAATTTTTGTTCCATTTGGCTTCTGGAATGGGAACGCAGCCTTGCTTGGTTACTGAAGCAACTGTGAAAGGGAGAATTGTCAGGAACAGGGTGGCAGACTTATGGGATTACCATGGGCTGGGCTCCTTCAGTGTGGTTTTTCCTTTGCAATGCCTGGTAACATGGTAGCAAACTGGATGGTGAGAGGAGTGGGAAGGGAGTATTGGGATAGTTGCCCGAGGGCTCTTGTGATAAAGATGATTGCATCATGATTGGCAGGTTCTTCTATCAGCAAAGGAGAAGTGAAGTGGACTTCCCTTGGCCATGCTATTTTGATTCTTTAGCAAATTCCAAAACCAAATTTGAGTTTGCAATTTATCTCCTTTGCCATTGCATATATTGGGGCTTGTGCATCCTTGTATTTTGGTATTTGAGGAGACTGGAATCAGACATCAGCAGATACCAAGGACCCCCTTGATTCATTGTATTAGCTGAACAAAATGGTCAACTCTAATGAACTCTAGTTGGACCCAATAACAAGCAGAGAGCAATCAATCTTCTGTCCCTGAACTACGAGAGAGGAGGAAATATGTTTCACAAAGACTATGATGTTCATCTGCTCTTAGAATGCATCTTCCATTTTTGATCATTTCACTTCCTTATTCATCAAAAAATAACCTTGCAACCTTTGTTTCTTAGTATGGATATAGAAATCAAATTGTATTCTAGGTTTTCGCAAAATATTTCATCAGTTAATGCAAATTTAATTTTTGATTCTATACAAGTTATAGTCACATTTTCTAATCCTGAGAATTTTAAGAGAATTTTGTCCTATCTCATCTACATTAGTTTTACATTTGTGCAATTTTGTAAAATACTCTTTATTTGTAAAAAAAAAAGTTTTTCCAAAATCTGTCTGTGTGTCTGTGTGTCTGTCTATCTATCGATCTATCGATCTATCTATCTATCTATCTGCTTGATTTAGGGTATTGTGAAAAGTGCAGTATCATATCTTCAAGTTCCTGTTGCACAGATTCTAGGCTTTGGGCATTAAATCCACTATTAAGATCCAATTCTGAAATGTGAGCTGATCTAAAATTTTTGAGGAGTCATTTTGTGGCCTGTTGTGTCTGCTTTTTGAAGTTGAAAGGGGGAGTCATTTGGGGGCTTTGCAGGGGAATTTACATTTCTTTGTCTTGTAAAACTTTGCTCTCTCTGTTTAGTCTCTAGCCAGCAGTTTCTCTTGAAATGACCATGTTTTTCACAAATCTTATCAATTTTTACATTAAGGTCTTTGCATTTTTGCCTTTAAAACTAAGTTGCATCACCCCTTCTCAACCCTTCTATTAATTCTGCCTTTAGTCAAAAAGGAGTTTTCCATATGGTTATGTTTCAATATGTATGCATGATTCTTTAAAATTAATACACAATTTTCATAACTTGTATATATGCCTCCAAAGATCATATAGATCCCAATTTCATCTTCTTTCTTCTCTAACATTTCTCAATTGATCAATAATAGACTTCACATTTTGTGGACAATTTCCCAGATCATTTTCCTTATCCATTTTAGTGGCATATAATTTCTAGAGTTATCAATTTCTTGGTGGGGGTGGTTCTTATTTACAAATCTTCATTTGACTTCCTTCTAAAAACACTTCAAGTTTCATCTTCCAGCTCAGATGGTCTGTTTTCATCTTGCTTTGGTAGACTTAGAAAACAATCTTGCCTTCCTTTGAATCTTTGCATTTTCAAAAATAGAGTTACACTACTTGTGGCTACAGCTTCAAAAATCCAAAAAAACAAAAACAAAAAAACAAAACCCAAAACAAAACAAAACAAAAACAAAAACAAAAACAAAAAACCAAAAAAACACCTTGCAACCTTCCTCAAAACTTCTTACATCTTTTAGCTCTAGGCACTCTGCACTGGATTAGCAAACTGGGCCAGTACTGTGGCCGATAATTCTTTATTGGTGTAGTGGTGTATGCTTTCCAAAAAGGAAAAAAAACATTCAAAAATAACAAAGTAGCAACAACAGCATTAGCAGCAGTTCAGCAGATCAGAATCTTCTAGTGCCAGCAGTAGAGTGATTGAACTTAAGCAATTCAGGAGTAGAGTCAAGTGTAAAATGTTATAAAGGACATTATTCATAGAGCTATATGTCTAAAGAGAAAAGTTAACACGTCCTAGCTATCTAACTTACTAACTCACAGCGGACATCATGTCTCTTCATGTTCACAGGAGAAGGACAAAAGAGAAAGAACAAAGTGGAGGACTCAGGGACTTGTCATGTGCTCAAAAAAGGTGTGTCCCTGAAATGCATCCGTCTAACCAGTAAGGTGATAGGAAGAGAGAACAAAGTGAAAGGCAGGCACAGAGGCCAATAGGAGAAGGGCTTTCCGCTTCCAACTAACTCATCTGCCTATTTAAGTCCATGATGCAGACTACAAGTTTGTGTAGGATAGTTCTGAGTTCCAACATTGAGAAGGTCAGGTGAGTCCACGGTGGAAAAATGATGTGTGGAGATGAGCTGGGTTAACGCAGGCCAAAACTGTTTTGTCGTAGCCTTGAACATGTTAACCAAAGAAGCTCCAAATTTTCCCTGAAAATCTGATGCAAATCTCCTCCTGTCATGGTGTCAAACTGCATTCATCTGGGAATGTAGATGCATCCAATGGTGTAGTAAAGAGCTGTGAAACCCCACTTGTCACTAGTTTCTTTTAGCATGTACCCAGGTATGCTTTGAAAATATTTTCTGAAAAGAAAGGAAATACCTCTTTTTTCTGGCTGTCCATTTTTATGAAAATTCTCCTTTTTCTTCTCTGGAGTGAAGAAAGATCCATCAGTCTGCTTTGTAGCAGTCCTGGGCTTTTGCTTTACTTTGTGCAACCATGGATCCTGCATCCACACATGGCGCATTGCTTCTTCTGGGGTCATGCGCAAAGAAGGTTTCCATCTTGATATAAAACACAATACAGGGAATACCTAAATTTATTAAGAGTGGATATTATTATCTATATAAATAAAAGTCAAAATATATATGTATGTATGTATGTATGTATGTACATATGTATATATGTATGTATGTATTTTCCAAGATGGCTCCCATTTCCAGAGAGCCCTCTGACTCCTATCAACAATGGATCTGGTATAAACTTGGCACATAGACCCATCCATGACCAACTTAAAACACGGGAGGGTTTGCGGGTGGGGTAAAGTGATTGACCCTTGGAAATGGGAGTTGAAGTCCAACCATATGCAGACAGCACTGTGAACTTCATCAATGATGGACCTGGAGCAAACTTGGCACACATACCCATCATGACCAACTTTAAGTACTGGTGGGGTTTGGTGGACAATGGCAGAGGATGAAGGGAGTTATATTTACCCACAACCTGTGAACCTCACCAATGATTGTTCAGGACCAAAATTGGCACACATTCCCACCATGGCCAACTTTAAGTACTGTTGAAATTAGGGGATGGGTTGGCCTATGATGTTGGGAGTTTGCCAATATCCAGAGAGCAGTGTGAATCTCACTGATGATGGATCTAGACCAGGGCCGTAGCCAGAAAATTTTTTTGGGAGGGGTTGAAAATTTGGGGGGGGGGTTGAAAATTGCACGGGGGGGGGGGGTTGAAACCTCCTAGCTCACGCTGAAGCAAAGAGCACAGCAGGGGGCAGAGCAGCCTTCAATAGCCTGCAGCTCCGCCCCTGTCAACCACCTCCACCAAGTCTGGTCTCCTTAATGAGAGCATTCAACACCCCCCCCCCCCAACTTGGTTGCTTCGCTACATCGGCTATTGCTGCAAGTAATGACAGTGTGAATAAATTGTCAATATTTGCTTGAAATAGTGCTTGCAGTTCTGGAGGGACTCTTAATTTTTTGCATCTCATAGACTTAGCATGGGGATTTGGTTAACCAGTTAAAATTCATGAGTAAACCAGGTTTTTTAAAAAAATCTGAAACATTTTGGGGGGGGGGTTGAATCTAGACCAAGCATGATACACATACCCATCATGAACTACTGATGGGATTTGGGAAGCAGTGACAGATTATGGGAGATGTAATTTACCCACATCTTTATGCATTTTCTAATGGGACCATGTATAACATAACATAAAACAATTACTTTTTCTAATATATAGCATTACCTAACCAAGGCATCGCCAGGTACATAAGCTAGTATCTCTAGAAATGTATGTGTATATAAGCTTTACTACTCATGATGTAACGAGGGACATAAAATTAAATGATGATGATGATGACCATCACCGCAATTTGGCGTCATCTGCAAATTTGATAAGCATGCCTTCCATTTTGTCATCCAAGTCATTGATGTATTGAATAGCACCAGACCCAGGATATAACCCTTTGGTATCCCACCGGACACTTCTCTCCAGGAACAAATTACTATTAAGGTGCTACAAGCTTCTGTTTTGGGAAAACAAAATATTGAGACAAATAAATGTGGCTTCCAGAACACAGATGTATATATATGAAAACATGAAGGCTAGATACCAGGTTTTTGCAAAACTAATAAAAAACCATCTTACACAAGACATTTTTTAATGAAATCCAGAAAAGAAACATCGTAGGTTTTCAGTATGGTGCTCAGATCCCTGGAGTTTGGACTTCTTATTTTTCCTCTACTATTTGTAATGTTCTTTGGAGTGCCACTGGAATCTCGAAAAAAGAAATAAAAATATTTGAAACATATCATCTACATTTGCTATGTTGAAAAGTCAAGTCCACAGTAGATTTAAATCTACAACAGCTAACAATAAAAATCAGTGGGCAATCCTCCTATGATCTTGTTTTCCTGGAAAAGAGCCACCATGTTTTCCTGGAGGTGAAAGTGCCCAAAAATCCCCCAAAAACAAAAACAAAACAAAACAAAACAAAAACACAGCAACCCACCTGTGCTCAGCAGTGTGAGTTGGAGTGTAGTAAGTTATATGCAAAGGTGGGAAGGTCAGAAACTACCCAAAACTTTTGAATTATTAGCTGACAAGAGATTGTGCATATCAGCAATGCCTAGCCGACTAGATGCCACGTCTAAAGAAGTAAAAAAAGTCAGGTTGGAACTAGCCTCTTAAATTGAACTAGAGTATGAATCTATCTTCTGAAATTTTGGCATTTTGTTATATTAAATATGTTGTTGTTGTTGTTCATTCGTTCAGTCGTCTCCGACTCTTCGTGACCTCATGGACCAGCCCACGCCAGAGCTCCCTGTTATTATATTTAATTGTTTTGGGATTTTATGGTTTTATTATTTATTTATTTACTATATTTATATACCACCCCTCTCAGCCCGCAGGTGACTCATTTACTATATTTATATACTGCTTTATTTTATGTTTATTGTGTGCCCACGCTGGTAGCTTTTCAGAAAACAAGGATGGCAGAGTAATATTGATAATAAATAATTTGCAACAGCAATGTTTCAATTGCTGTATGTATGAGCTATGAACCTGCAGTCATCAGACTACTTAATTCTAGGATATAAAATCCAGGACATTACTATATAATTAAAGGACACACAGAAAATAAAAGTTTACACTGAGTTCTTAAAAATAAAGTACAATGTAGGGAGGTGAAAATTATGACCTCAAATGTTTCACGGGAAAGAGTTTAAATGTCAACTATAACCAGGGATTTCTACAACATGCAAAATATTTTGCCTGTTATAATTATGGATTCTCTGTAAGCCAATTGATAATGACAAAAGCTTACCAAAGAACGTTCGCTTTCGGGATGCTGTCTGAATAAAATCGCCTGGTGGAAGGCCTAATATCTTTGAAGGAAAAACACAAACATGCAAATCAAACACATAAGGCGTCTAAAAAATGTAACTCACTGTAAGCATATTAAGTAACTAATGAATGGCCCTTGTTAACATTGCAGCTGAATGAACCTTTATATTGCTCATTGAGAAGACTAAGGGCACATTTACACTAACATTTAATTCAGCTTGAAACCAACTTCAAACTGTGATGGCTACAGAACTCACGCTGACGAGCTCAGAAATTGGTCTCCAACAGACCTCACTACCTCTGAGGATGCTTGCCATAGATGCAGGCGAAACGTCAGGAGAAATGCCCCTAGAACATGGCCCTATAGCCCGAAAAAACCCACAAGAATTCAGAAATTGGTTGTTTGTTTGATGGTTGTTTTATGCTGTTTTGTGATGTTGTTTTATGAATTTTATTGTGTTATATTTTAAACTATGTTGATCGGGCTTGTCCCCATGTAAGCCACCCCGAGAGTCCCTTCGGGGAGATGGTGGTGGGTTACAAAAATAAAGTTGTTGTTGTTATTATTATTATTATTATTATTATTATTATTACTATTATTATTATATTTTACTGACACAAAAACACAGTATGTCACAGAAAACGAGATATATATGCTGGATTTCATATCACAAAATCACAAGTCGAACACTTCTTAAGTGTCTAGGACTGTGTGATGTATTTTCGCATGATGCGTGCAGGTCCAAGTAAGGTGGTTTTTTGTAGTTGACAGATTGTGATTTTGTCCATGTTTATTGTTTCCAAATGCTGGCTGAGGTCTTTTGGCATGGCACCCAGTGTGCCGATGATCACTGGGACCACCTGTACTGGTTTATGCCAGAGCCTTTGCAGTTCGATTTTGAGGTCCTGATAACGGCTGAGTTTTTTCTGTTGTTTTTCCTCAACGTGACTGTCACCTGATATGGTGACATCCATAATCCAAACTTTTTTCTTTTCCACAATCGTGATGTCTGGCGTATTGTGTTCCAAAACTTTGTCAGTCTGGATTCAAAAGTCCCACAGTATTTTTGTGTGTTCATTTTCTATTACCTTTGCAGTTTTATGATCCCATCAGTTCTTTACTACTGGCAGGTGGTACTTGTGGCATAAGTATTATTATTATTATTATTATTATTATTATTATTATTATTATTATTATTAAGTATGCTGCGGGGTTTAAGGCACAACAAGCCACATTGGGGGAAGTCTTGTGTTAAAGCCTGTAATGCGTGAATGAACCCTAAACCTAAACCACATTGCATGGCAAAAATTGGCTCCACAGAATATGAAGTGCTTTATAGACACCAGCCCATGCTGGAGCACTTTGTAAAGTACAGAATGAGGTGGCAAGGCTACCTAAAACGCTCCAAGGTCATAGCTGGCACCAGGGAGCTAAATGACTCCCTGGGACAGATAGTTTTCTTCAATGTCTCTGGAATGCTGATATGCATCTCCCCTGGAAATGAAAAGGGGAAAAATACTGCTCAAGAAGGAGCAGAAGTCAACTTATTCTGCAATGGCCGGAGCGGACACTGGGAAATAACAGTTTCCAAATCCAGCATGCTTTCCAAGTATAAGCATGGGTATTATATAGAGAACTACACACATTCTTTGGGGAATTCCAGGGTTGTGGCCAGGAGACCTCCTGAGGTTATCCATCTGAGCCTAAGTTGTGGCTGTGACAGTTGGCTCAGTTGCAATATGGCTGTCACCTTCCAATTCATTGGCAACAGTGCTACTCCCATTTCTATGCTGCAAAGGAGACAACCGTCCCCCACTTTTTCACTCATTGTGCAACTTACTAACACAGTACAAGCAACAAGCAGATATGGGGACAAAGTTAACAAGAAAATACAGGTCTGCTCCTACAAGCAGTTTTGAATAAGTGAATGTTTAAACCAAGTTACCTCCATAATGCATGCAAGCTGTTCTACTTCGTTTTCTCCAGGGAAAAGAGGGTACCCGGTGAAGAGCTCAGCCATGATACATCCTAAACTCCACATGTCAATAGGAGTTGCATAGGGATGGCCAAGAATAACTTCTGGAGAACGATAAAATCGACTTTGAACATATGTATACACTAGAATAAACAGGCAAACAAAACAAAACAAAAAAACAGAAAAGAGTATCAGAAATCAAGACAGAATAGGCATACTGTAGTTAACAAAGGCTCTAACAAACCCTTCTATACAGCCCTATATCCCAGAATATTAAGGCAGAAAATCCCACAATATCTGCTTTGAACAGGGTTATCTGAGTCCACACTCAGATAATGTGAGATTTTCCGCCTTGATATTCTGGGATATATGGCTGTGTGGAAGGGCCCAAAGACACTGTTTTTCATAGAATCATACATTTGTATGAGATTGCGAGGGCCATTCAGTCCGATCCACTGCCATGCAGGAATACATAATTAAAGCACTTCTGAGAGATGGCTGTTCAGCCTCATTTGGTGTCATCTGCAAATCTGATCAGCATACTTTCCAGTCTATTTTACAAGTCCTTGAAAAGGACATTGAACAGTACTGGGTCTGGGACAGAAGCCTTTGGCACCCCACTCACTATTTCCCTCCATGATAAAGAATCATCATTGGGAATAATTTTTTGAGTTTGGACAGTCAACTAATTCCCAATCCATCTAACAATTGCATTGTCTAGCCCATATTTTACTAGCTTTTTGTGAGAGTATCATGGTGGATCTTGTCAATGAAGATAAACTATATTCCTAGCATTCTCTGCATCTACCAAGTTTGTACTCTTATCATATTTCCTTTCAAGCTTCTCTTCTGAAGGCTAAATATACTCAGCTCTTTAAGCTTCTCCTTATAGGGCATGGTTTCCACACCTTTGATCCTATTAGTTGCCCTCTGGACACATTCCAGCTTGTCAGTATCTCCTTTAAATGGTGGTGCCCAGAATTGGGCACAGTTTTCCAGGTGATGTTTGACCAAAACGGAATACTTCCCTTGATCTAACACTATAATCCTTTTGACGCAGCTTGAACTCCTATTCACTTTTTTAGCTGTTGCATTACATTGTTGGTTCATGTTTAACTTGTGGTCTACTAAGACTCCAAGATCTCTTTCACATGTAACTCTGTTGTGGAGCTGGGCATAAAGTATCTGTGCATTCCAGTTTTTCTGCCTAAATGTAGTATCCTACATTTCTTCTTGTTGACATTCACTTTGTCAATTTTGGCCCAGTTCTATAATCTGTTACGGTCATTTTGAATTTTGATCCTATCTTCCTTTTCCAATTTGGTGTCATTTTCACACTTGATCAGCATGACATGTAAACTTTCATCCAAGTCATTAATAAAGATGTTGAACAGCACTAGGCCTAGGACAGAACCCTGTGGCACTCCGCTAGTCACTTCCTTCCAGAATGAAGAGGAGCCATTGCTGAGCAAACTTTGGGTTTGGCCGCTCAATCCACCTAACAGTAGTATTGTCCAGTCCACATTTTACTAGTTTGTTTGCAAGAAAATTAATGGGGACTTTGTCTGAAATCAAGATATGCTGCATCCACAGCATTCCCTGTATCTACCAAGCCTGTAACTATATAAAAAAGAGATAAGATTAGTCTGCCATGACGTGTTTTTGAGAAATCCATGTTGCCTTTTAGTGATCACATCATTCTTTTCTAAGTGATTACAGCCTGCTTCCTTAATGATCTGCTCCAGAATTTTTACTGTTATTGATGTCATGTTGACTCAATAGTAATTGTCCGGGTCTTCTTTTTCCCTTCTTGAAGATAGGGACAACATTTGCCCTCTTCCGGTCTGCTGGGACATCTTCTGTTCTCCAAGAATTCCCAAAGATTATTGTCAGTGTTTTTGAAAATATTACTCCTAGTTCAGGTATGTGAAACTCCTAGCAAAAACATTTCTGCCAACTGCTGAGACATTGCCAGAAGCCCAACTTCATTAAAGCTAAGACCATGGCCCAGGAAGCCAAATCATTGCCAGCAGCACCACATGCAAAACTAGCTATTCACGTCTATTATCCTTCTCTCCCTTCCTTGGCAATGTTCCTGAACCTGGAGAAGAGACAAAATGATGACGTGTGCATCAAGTCCCTTCAGCTTCCTATCCATAGTCTCGTCATGCTATGTGATCTCCTAAATAATATGTCCCTTGAAAATGAACACTGTGATACTAAGCTTTGAATCATACAGCTTTCAGAGGTCCAGGGCCATTAAACCTAATCTCCTACTCATTGAAAGATTATGAGCTGGTGCATCTCCAGCAGCCAGTCTCTTTTTTGAAGAGAGAATGCAATACAGTCAGAACAATAATAGGTTAGCAATAAAAGAAGCCATTAAGTCTCCCTTATTAAGTTTCACAAATCTTATCATTACTTAAGAGAGTTACATCACTTAAGAGAAGGCTGTACTTCTCTTAGGTAAGGAAAAAAACAATGAAAAGTTATAATTAATAACAAAAACAATGTATTTGACTTTTCTGCAAACCTCTCTGATGTTCATAGCAGCTTGATCCAAAGTCAATCACTTTAAATGAAACTTGCCCAAGTTGAGGCTGGCTTATTAATATGTTCTCCTACAATAAGGAAAAAGAAAGAGGTGTAGATGAATGTTTTCACAGCTATTCTTGCAAGTTTGCAAACTAATGGTGAATTTTACAGGAAAGGAGTGAAAAGTAACAATAGTAACATAGATTTTTGTTGTTGTTGCAGAGAATGGACATTCCAAGCACTTTGATATATTTTCATGTTTTTATGTGACTTACCCCATGGAATGCTTTATGTATGTATAATGTGATTGATCATCTGTTGTTGTTTCAGCAAGAAACCATGGCCCTCTCCATGCCAAATCACAATTTTGTTCTCCAAATAAATGTTAGATCTGATATATTAGCAGAGTATGCCTGAAAGCGGCAGTCTTCCATTAACAATGGATCTGTTTTGCACAAGTACCTGTATTATTATTCAGAGTTATTTCACCCTGTCAGTCCAATCTTTGGGAGGATTTAAAATTATCTGATGATAAGGAGCCCATAATACTTCATATAGTTGTTAAGATAAAACTGTATGATATCAAAGAAAGGTGAAGTACTTCTATGAAGGATATGATGGATAATCATTTAAAAATTTGATTGGTTGCATACTGCAAAAATTACTATCACCATTCAAGCAGGGAGCTTTGAAATGTTTGAACAGAAGTGCTCTGAAACTTTAGGTGCTCTTACTGCCTATTACAGGGAAAACCAACTGATTCCTAATTCGTTTTAAACACACATGTGCTTTTCATCTTGAGAACAGACAAGCATCTTGAGCCCTGAGAAGGAATCCACTGGAGCATTCCAGCACACTAAAATACCTGGGAGTTACTCTCAACCATGCTCTGACTTATAAAAAGCACTGCTTGACTATCAAGTAAAAAGTGGGTGCTAGAAATAATATCATATGAAAGCTGATTGGCACAACCTGGGGGTCACAATCAGACACAGTGAAGACATCTACCCTTGCACTTTGCTAATCTGCCCTTGCACTATGCTAATATGCATGCCCAGTGTGGAACACATCTCACCATGTTAAAACAGTGGATGTGGCTCTTAATGAGACATGCTGCATTATCATGGGGTGTCTATGTCCTACGCCGCTGGAGAAATTATACTGTTTAGCTGGTATTGCACCCCTGATACCCACTGGGAAGTAGCAGCCAGCAATGAAAGGATCAGGGCATTGACATCTCTGGCCCATCCTCTGTTCGGATATCAGCCAGAATGTCAATGACTTAAATCAAGAAACAGCTTCCTAAGATTTACAGACACGCTCACAGGAGCACCTCAGCAAGCGAGAGTCCAAAAGTGGCAGGCTAAAACCTGGAACCTCAATCAGTGAATGAGACCGGATGGGAAACTCCCTCCTGGGCAAACAGAAGACTGGGCAACATGGAAGGCACTGAACAAATTGCGCTCTGATACCACGAAATGCAGAGCCAACCTTAAGAAATGGGGCTATAAAGTGGAGTCCACGACATGCGAGTGTGGAAAAGATCAAACCACAAACCACCTATTACAATGCAATCTGAGCCCTGCCTCATGCACAATGGAGGACCTTCTTACAGTGACAGCTGAGGCACTCAAAGTGGCTAGCTTCTGGACAAAGGAAATCTAGTATAAAATGCCAAGTTTTAAAACTTTGTTTGTGGTTTTTATACATTCTCAATTTGCTTCTGACACAATAAAATAAAAATTATTTAAAAATTAATCTGGCTTAAAGACTTTGATCCTGCTTTGTTGAGAAGATGTGAAGGCATGATTCCACACTTTAATTTTCATTACTATCATCTACAAAGTCAACGTTTTAGTAGTTTCAAAAAGTTTTTTTTCTTCCACTTCAATATTTATAACTCCAAAAACAGTGTAAACAGTTGAAATGTCACCAGGAACAAATGCCGTACTTACAGGTTTCAGATCACAGTGGATTATCTTCTCTGTATACAACAGCTGTAGACATCTTAAGACACACTGAGTGAATCGACGAATTAAACCCAAGGTAAAACCTTGGAAATTATTTTTCTTGATTAATTCATACAAATTTATACTGTAGGAGGAGAAAGAATGTTTCTGTTTTATATTGAGAAGAATGTATTTATTTTATAATACCTGAGCACACAATATTTGTTCAAAAGCACTTGACTTGCAAAGTGTCCGAAGTTATGAAACATTGCAACCAGAAGATGACAACAACAGCATTGCAACAAGGAGTGGTGGCAGGGTGGAGATGATGGTATTTTTCAGCTTCATATGTTCAAAGACTATAATTCAATCTGATACAAAGTGATAATAACATACAACAATAGCCCAGCTCATCATGTAAACATATATCTGTGTTCTTGTTTGTGTCATGTGAAGTTTTAGAAGAAAATACTTTCTTGCTACTGCCTATCTCCAGTTTGTGCTGTTTTAGTTTTTGTCAGGAGTGACTTGAGAAACTGCAAGTCGCTTCTGGTGTGAGAGAATTGGCCGTCTGCAAGGACGTTGCCCAGGGGACGCCTTAATGTTTTGATGCTTTACCATCCTTGTGGGAGGCTTCTCTCATATCCCCACACAAGGAGCTGGAGCTGACAGAGGGAGCCCATCCGTGCTTTCCCCTGTCGGTCTTCAGTCGGTATAAGGGTTTAACCCATTGCGCCACTGGGGGCTCCTGCGCTGGTAATAATATCATATTATACACAAGTCATTGCAAGGATTATTGGGAAATTAGGAAAAACAATCAACACTTTTAATTTCTATAAATCTGTTTTTAAAGGAGAGCAAAAGCTGCCTTACCCTAATAATTCAAAGGAAATGCAGAAATGATTACGGAAGTAAAAATATTCTTTCATGTGGACAACATTGCATGCATTGTCTTCATCCCTTTTCCGAAGAGCATTGAGAATGCTGACTTCTATTAAGGCCTGATTATGAAATCTAAAAAAGCATACGGAGAGAAGGGTTACATAAGTTGATACAAGAATCTAAAGTAGCTTCCAGTCTTCTTCTACCATGGGAAATTCAGGCACATCTGCTCAACGTTCGAGGACTTAGAAGCTACAATCCAACAATCCAACATTTGGGGTCAGGAAAGCACTGGACTATGCTATTTCTACATGGCTGGTATTACTTAAACATTTATGGGTTTTTGGAAAAGTAGTCCATATAAAGCATTACATGTCACTAGGAGAATCTGATTATTGTAGTCCAGTAACAGGTTGGTCAGTTTTAAGTTGTGAATTTTAATCTGAATACTGTCAGTTGATTTTCATTTGCATTTTAATTATATGTATATTCTTGTGTGTCTTTTAATAGTGTTTGATCTCTTGTTTTAATTATGTATCCTACCTTGAGCCACAAGGAGAGGCAGGTATTAAAACAACAACAACAACAGCAGCAGCAACACGTTGCTGTCCACTGCTTCTTTTTCTTTGCCCGCTCCTCCCCCCCACTCCATTAACTCAAACTGGAAATGAAAACAACTTAGGCCCCTTCCACACAGCTGAATAAAACCCCACACTTTCTGCTTTGAAGTGGAATATATGGCAGTGTGGACTCAGTTCAAAGCAGATATTGTGGGATTTTCTGTTTCGATATGCTGGGTTATATGGCTGTGTGGAAGGGCCCTTAGAGTGACTTTTGAGACCTAATTGTGTGAATTCATTTGTTTGATTGATTATTTATATGGCCATGACAATACATTTTGAAATTTGCTTGTTGTTGTTTATTCATTCAGTAGTTTCCGATTATTTGTGACCTCATGGACCAGCCCATGCCAGAGCTCCCTGTAGGTTGTGGCCACCCCCCAGCTCCTTCAAGGTCAAGTCAGTCACTTCAAGGATAACATCCATCCAACTTGCCTTTGGTTGGCCCTGTTAAAGTAAGTCGTAGCAGGATCTAGTGTGTGTTAAAGAAAAACCTCATGATGTTAATTATTATGTGCAGCTGGTAATGTAGGTCAGCCAGCATGTTTGGGCCACACCCGGTGGGGTATAACTGTATGAATTTTAGAATACAGTTTGAAGAAGTAATATGCTGCTCTAAGGAGAAAAGCAATATGTTATTCTGAAGGAGATGCTGCAATGCTGCAATGTTTTAACAGCAATGCTCTTTGCTATGGTCGAATAGCTATTTACTCAAGGTTTATGTTTTGCTCTTTCATTTGAATGAAGATGGAGAAGCCTTATTCTGTGTTACTTACAAGGACTATGTAAGTTTGTTGCACTGTTTGATTTTGTATGCAACACTGCAAGTTTATTGCCTCTGCTGATAAAAGTAAAGTTTTTCTATTCTTTTTCCCTCTTGCCTGAGTGTCTTTTGCATGGGACTTGGCTAAAACACGTTCTGCGCAACAGGCCCCTCTTCCTTTTTCCTTCCATTTCCCCCAGCATCATAATCTTCTCCAAGCTTTCCTGTCTACTCATTATGTGGCCAAAGTGTTCCATCTTTGCCTTTAATATCCTTCCCCCCAATGAGCAATTGGTCTTGATTTCCTGAAGTATGGACTGGTTTGATCTTCTCATGGTCCAAGGCACTCTCAGAATTTTCCTCCAACACCATAGTTCAAAAGCATCTATCTTCCTTCACTCAACCTTCCTTATGGTCCAGCTCTTGCATCCATAGGTTACTACAGGGAATACCACTGCTTTAATTATGCGGACCTTCATTACCAGCGTGATGCCCCTACTCTTAACTATTTTATTGAGATTGGCCATTGCTCTCCTCTCAAAAAGTAAACGTCCTCTGATTTCCTAGCTGCAGGCAGCATCTGCAATAATCTTTGCACCTAGAAATATAAAGTCTGTCCCTGCCTCCATGTTTTCTCTCTCTGTTTGCCAGATATAAATCATTCTGATTGCCATAATCTTGTTTTTTGATGTTTAACTGCAACCCAGCTTTTGCACTTTCTTCTTTCACTTTGGTTAGAAGGCTCCTCAGCTCCTCCTTGCTTTCAGCCGTCAAAGTGGTATCATCTGCATATCTAAGATTGTTAATATTTCTTCCAGCAATTTTAACTCCAGCCTTGGATTCATCAAGCCCTGTATGTCGCAGGATGTCGCAGGATGTTCTGCATACAAGTTGAATAAGTTGGGTGAGAGTATACAACCCTGCCGTACTCTTTTTCCAATCTTGAACCAGTCTGTTGTTCCGTGTTCAGTTCTGACTGTTGCTACTTGATCATTATACAGATTCCTCAGGAGACAGACTATGTGACTTGGTATCCCCATACCACCAATTTATTATGATCCATACAGTCAAAGGCTTTTGCAATTTAGGGATGTTTATTGGGTTGTAAAACAAACATTGTGATTTTTCTGGATGACCTTTGCTTTCAAAAAATGGATAAAACAGTTCACAAACAAAACAGTAATCACTTTTTAAAAAATAAAATTTCTCTCCAGATTTTTAGTGTAGCGATACATTTTATAAAAAGTTAGACACGTCATACCTTTTTTTGTTCCTGATTACTTTCACCGCCACCTTTTCCCCTGTCTTGTGGTCCAAACACTTCAGAACGTGTCCAAAAGATCCTTTCCCAAGAACAGCCAGTATTTCATATCTATATGCAATATGATCACTTAGAACCTACAAAAGATGGCAGTGATGTGGAAAATCTTACCTCTCGCATGCCAGATGTTTATTTCTGCACAAAGCACAATATATATTTTGAAGTCACCACCTTAGTGTCCATGTCTTGGACCTCAGCTATTTTATTTCATACTAGCTGTACCCGCCACGCGTTGCTGTGGCAAACCTTCCCTCCCTCTTTCTGCTCCTTCTTTTTCTCTCTCCTTCCTTACCTCCCTCTTTCCTTCTTTCTCTTTCTCTTCTTCTTTCTTCCTTCTCTACCTGTATCTTTTCTCACTTCCTTTGCTGTTTGGTTTCATCCTTCCTTGTGTCTTTCCTTCCTTCCTTCCCTCTTTCGTTCCGTCTCTCCTTCCTTCCTTCTTTCACTGTTTTATTTCCTTCTCTCTTTCCTTCCTGCTCTACCTTTCTTTCTTTCCTTCTCCCCTTCTTTCCCTCCTCCTCTCTTTCCTTCCTTCTCTATCTTCCTTTCTTTCTTTCCTTTTCTCCTTCTTTCCCTCCTCTCCCCTTCCTTCCTTCTCTACCCTTTCTTTCTTTCCTTCCCTCCTTCTTTCCCTCTTTCTCTCCCTCCTTTCTTCTCTATCTTTCTTTCTTTCCTTCTTTCTCTCCTTCCCTCCTTCTTTCTCTCCCCTTCCTTCCTTCTCTACCCTTCTTTCTTTCCTTCCCTCCTTTCCCTCTTTCTCTCCTTCCTTCTCTATCTTCCTTTCTTTACTTCTTTCTCTCCTTCCCTCCTTCTTTCCCTCTTTATTTCCCTCTTTCTCTCCTTCCTTCTTTCTCTACCTTTCTTTCTTTCCCTCCTTCCTTCCCCCTTTCTGTGTATGTATTTTGTGTGTGTATATGCATACATGTGTGTTTGTGTATCTATATGTGGTTTTGCACATGCGTTGTAATTTTTGGGTGTTTTGTTCTGGCTTTTTAAGTCCCTTCTGCTATGTTTTTCTGTGTCTTTTTGAGTGAAGGACATACACTGGTGTGTTGTGTCCAAATTTGGTGTCAATTCCCCCAGTGGTTTTTGAGTTGTGTTCATCCCACAAACAAAGATGACATTTGTGTTTCTCTAGATTGTGCTCTGGCTGTGTGGGAGGGCCCAGGAAGCCACCTCAATAATGGGAAGGCGTGCCCAAAGGCATCCATTGCCATGCCAAAGGTTAGCCTTGAGGCGAGCAGGCCCAAAGGCCTTGCGGGGGGGGGGGAGAAAGAGAGAGCGAGGGGCAGGCCTCGAGGCCTCCAGCATCACAATCCCCGCTCCTCGCATTGAGGCCTACCCGCCCCAGGTGCCTCCCTCTCTGCCTCGGAAGAGAGGCCACCCTGGCTCACCCGCGCCCGCCTCCGAAGCTGCTATAGGCCCGGTCATCGTAGGAGTCAAAATCCGCTGCAGCGGCGGGAACGATGGGGTAGAGGGAGGCAGGCAGGCAGAGTGCGCATGCGGAGGGCGACTTGGGCGCGGGGGAAGCTGGGAAATGAAGTCCTTCCTCATCATATTCCTCCCGAGGCCTCTGTGCATGCTCCGTATTTTTCAGGTATTGTGAGTTTGTGTTGTTGCATATTGGTGTTTTGAGGGTTGTTGGTCATACCTTGGGGGAAGAGGCATTAGCAGGCCAAATTTGGTGAGATTTTGTCCGGTGGTTTCTCCGTTTTTGACCGCCTAAGGACGCCCTTCAGATTCTTATATATATAGATGTTTAATTTATTCTGTTTTCTCACATATGTATTGTTTGGATTTGAGAATTCTATAGGTAAAAGCATCTTCCTCCCAATTTTTTATACCACATCTGCACAATTTGTGACTCCTCAAACTGAACCTACTTCACCAACTATGTGGTCTGGGATGCTAAATGAAATATGGTCTACTTAAAAAATCCTGCCCTCTTTCTTTCTTTGCATGTATTTGTTTAGGGGCCGCAGTGGTGCAATGGGTTAAACTGCTAAGCTGCAGAACTTGCTGACAAGAAGGTCAGCGGTTCAGAGCCACAGGACAGGGTGAGCTCCTGTTATTAGCCCCAGCTTCTGCCAACATAGCAGTTTGAAAAACATGCAAATGTGAGTAGATTAATAGGTACTGCTTCGGCAGGAAGGTAACAGTCATGCTGGCCACATGACCTAGGAGGCGTCTATGGATAACGCCAACTCTTCGGATTAGAAATGGAAATGAGCACCACCACCCAGAGTCAGACTCAATTAAACTTAATATCAAGGGGAAACCTTTATCCTTTACTATATTGGTTTATTGAGGGAAATATAAATTGAATTCATGTAGAAGTAGTCAAAATATATTATTTACAAATACAACGTGCTTCCCAATTGTTTATAATACATTAAAACAAAATTGGAGTGTCCCCGTGGGGTGGCTAACAATCCCACAACTTCATCATAGGTTTAAAAATTTAATATAAAAATTCCTAGGTAGTCCTATTGAGGACTGCTGTCTAAGTTTAGAATTGAAAGACTTCAAGGCAGTGTAATGGTGAAAGTGAGATAAATCAGATAATGTATTTTCTCTATCTTGTTTGTTTGTATTTATTTAATACTAGCCATCCCCTGCCACGCGTTGCTGTGGCCCAGTCTGTATATATGTGTTTTCTGTGTGCATATATATGTGTGTGTATTTGTGTATATGTGTATATATGTGTTTGCGTATATATATATATATGTGTGTGTGTGTGTGTGTGTGTGTGTGGTTTTGAGCATGCATTGTAATGTATTTTTGTTTTTTGGCTTTTTAAGTCTCTTCTGCTGTGTTTTTCAGTGTTTCTATGAGTGATGGCCACTCATTGGCCTGATAGGTGTATTGTGTCAAAATTTGGTGTCAATTCGCCCAGTGGTTTTTGAGTTACGTTAATCCCACAAACGAACATTACATCTTTATTTATATAGATCTATTTTGTTTCTACCTTGTTAGCTTCGCTAACTCTGTGTTGAGGATTAAAAAGCCAGTGCTTTCTTTGGGAGTTTTATTAAATGCAAATATATTTATCCAAACCAAGTTCATATGCAATTATTCTCATCCTAAGCAGCTTTCACAGGAAGAGCTATGTCAACTCTGCAAGTATGAGAGCACAATACAACTAAAGACAGTCCCACTAGCATTTGCAATGAGCTGGAAATGTGTCACAATCCTATGTTATTTAATTATGACAACCTCTGTGAAGGAGGAGGATAAATGGATTACGATCATGCGAGACAAATGGGCAGGAAACTGGAAGATATTATTTGCATGCAATAAAGATAAATTGCTCTGGTGTGTAAAAGGTAAAAGTAAAGGTTTTCCCCTGACATTAAGTCCAGTCATGTCCGACTCTGGGGGTTGGTGCTCATCTCCATTTCTAAGCTGAAGAGCTGGCGTCGTTGACAAACACCTCCAAGGTCATGTGGCCAGCATGACTGCATGGAGCGTCATTACCTTCCCACTGGAGCGGTATCTATTGATCTACTCACATGTTTGTATGTTTTGAACTGCTAGGTGGGCAGAAGCTGGGACTAACAGAGGGAGCTCATGCCGCTTCCCAAATTCGAACCTGTGACCTTTCGGTTAGCAAGTTCAGAAGCTCAGCGGTTTAACCTACTGCACCACCCAGAGCTCTGGTGTGTGGGAGAGGGTAAATTAAAGCTGGACACCAGAGGATTTGTGTGTTTTATGACATTATGTGTTTGAGCCATATATATGTGTGCTTCAAGGCAGAGTCATGTATTCCGAACCACAAACATGTGATACCCACAAACTCCTGTGTATCTTGGAGAATTTCTTTCACAAAAATTGATGCATAAAGGGTTCTTACAAAATACCAGCAGACTTCATACTGCCTCTAAAGGGATAGTCAAGTTGGGAATCATTTTTTTACAACTCTGTTGCTTCACAATATGGGAACATATTGGACAATGAAAGAGGAATTTTCTTCCTTCTTTCTTTCCACTTATATTCTTTAACCAGACCAGAGAAAAGCAAGGCAGTAATGGAGAAAATGCCTCTAGAACATGGCCATATAGCCCAAAAAAACCAACCTACAACCCAAGACAGCAATGGATAGGAGACTGACATTCGAGATTCTGATTTTATTTAAAACTAGCCATCCCCTGCCACACGTTGCTGTTGCCCAGTCTGTGTATATGTGTTTTGTGTGTATATATGTGTGTGTATATATTTGTGTATATGTGTGTTTGAGTATGTGTGTGTGTGTGTGTGTGTATATATATATATATATATATATATATATATATATATAGTTTGGCACATGCATTATAATTTAATTTTTGGGTTTTTTTACTTTTTAAGTCTCTTATGCTGTGTTTTTCAGTGTTTTTATGAGTTATTGTCACTCTTTAGCCTGATAGGTGTATTGTGTCCAAATTTGGTGTCAATTCGTCCAGTGGTTTTTGAGTTGTTAATCCCACAAACGAATGTTACATTTTTATTTATATAGACTTGCTGTCCCCAACCACACGTTGCTGTGGCCCACATGGGGGTTCTGTGTGGGAGGTTTGGCCCAATTCTATTGTTGGTGGGGTTCAGAATGCTCTGTGATTGTAGGTGAACTATAAATCCCAGCAACTACAACTCCCAAATGTCAAGATTCTATTTTCCCCAAACTCCACCAGTGTTCACATTTGGACATATTGAGTATTCTTGTAGAGTTTGGTCCAGATCCATCATTTTTTGAGTCCACAGTGATCTCTGGATGTAGGTGAACTACAATTCCGAAATCAAAGGACACTGCCCACCAAACCCTTCCAGTATTTTCTGTTAGTCATGGGAGAACTGTGTGCCAAGTTTGGTTCAATTCCATCGTTGGTGGGGTTCAGAATGTTCTTTGATTTTAGGTGAACTATAAATCCCAGCAACTACAACTCCCAAATGGCAAAATCAGTTTTTTTTTAGTGGATATGCATTAGGTTGTTAGGTGTCGTGTCCAAATTTGGTGTCAATTAAGAGTCAACCACACACATACTTTTAAATTTCTGAAATCCTTTGTAAGGACTTCAGCCCACAAGGGGAGAGGGGGAAGCGGATGGAATTGTCTTCTTTGCGAGGCATTTTGTGGGGTTCCATCTTTTAAGAAGACAGGGAGTTTCCTCACCCGCAAAAAACCCCCCAAAAAACACAGGATCACCTCCTCCCCCTTCTAGCTCAAACATTTCAAAAGCTCAACCACTTTTTAAACAGGAGTCCTTTTTGAAATACTACTTTCCATGGAATCATTCCCCTTTTTGACCTCTATACAAAAGGAGACAGACACACTTTTTAAAACACTTTTTCAACACTTCCTATCACAAGGGAAAATGCCTATTTTAAGCCTATCTATGTGCAGGGAGAGGAGTGAAGTCTATTTCCGCCCGTCTTTGAAATCCTAATCCCACAAGCAACCACCAGAAGCAGTCCTACATAATTTTATGGGCTCCATGGGAGTCTGTCTTAGAATTGTATAGAAACGGGTAGTAATGGAGGAAGACTTCCATATGATGAGGTTCTAAATAGTCTTAACTTCTTTCCTTGGACATTTATAAAATACCAGCACTGGAAACTTCCCATAGAAGATAATTTCTCATGACCATAAATGCCCAAATATTTTCAGTCTCTCACCTTTTTGTAGGAGCCATGATCATCATCAAAGGCATTATTCTCTCCATCCTTATATCCTTCAATCTTCTTAGCTCCCAATCCAAGATACCACAACTCCTTATATTCCTTAATTTCTCGTTGTTCATACAATGTTAGCTGGTTTTTGAAATATTTCAAGGCTTCTGATTGGGAGAGGAAATCAGCCACTAAATACAGACACTACCGAATTCTCTATTTTTCTTTTCCCTCTCCCTTTCCAAATGTTACTGTTTCCAAGATAGTATTTCTGTCTTTGATACAAAATGGCTATAACATTATATTGTAAATTATAAAACTGTATTAAAAATAATATAACTATTATTATCCACATGCTGCAAATTTGAGTGGGATAGCTGGGAAGGAAGCAAACTGAATGAACAGTGTTAAGGTCAAGTTCAATAGCTACATTCATAGTTACAATCATGTTTGAACCTTATACCAAACTGTTGAGGCCTGTGTGAAGCCTCTGAGGATGAGGACAAGGATTTTCTGATTGAGCCTGGTGTTTCTGTGGGGAAAAGCAAAAGTGTTTTTCAAGACGATGGGAATGTTTTGGGTAGGTCTGTTGGGAAAACAGACAGAAAGTCTCATGAGATTTGGTCAGGGATTGACTCTAAAAGGAATGTGGAGGAGACAGAAGGGTTACAGATAACCCAGCGTTTACAGATCCAAAGGGATAGTGTGAAGTAAAGACAAATCTGGTGTTCTCAGAGACTGAAAGATAAATAAAGGTAACCCTGGTGTGAGAAAGGTGATGTCATAGGCAAGAGGGAATATTCTTAAGGAATTTGAGTCAATTTTGGTGGGGAGATCAACATTGGATTTTCATGTGTTAAGTTGCCTGTCTTGGGATCTCTGAATTAAGACTTTTGGTCTTGGGTCTGGATCTTGTTTTCTTATTTAAGTTCCATGCCTGCTGTTTGGATTACAAATCTTATTTCAAGTTTTAAGCCTTTGGGATTATAGTCAAGTTCAAGTATCAAGCCTTTAGATTATGATCATGTTCATGCTTTCAAGCTTTTGGATATAATTCTAATTTAAGTGCAACAAACCTTGGATTACAGTTTCTTGCTTTTGCTTTAAGTGATTTTGGAATTCCTATTCAGAGTTGACAATTGCTTTTTGTCAAGCTTTTCAAAATCTAGCTCATGGATATATTTTGAAACTTTTTTTTATCTTAGATACCATTTTCTTAATAAACTTACTATTCTTGTTCATCTGTGTGGTGTGTGAGTGAAAAAGTGATCAAGTAGGCGGCTGGGCTGCAACATAAACTTTCAATGAATTGGACTGCAAGTTCTGATATAGGTTCTTGTGGGTTTTTTCGGGCTATAGAGCCATGTTCTAGAGGCATTTCTCCTGACATTTCGCCTGCATCTATGGCGAGCATCCTCAGAGGTTGAGAAGGTCTGTTGGAAGTAGGAAAAATGGGTTTATATATCTGTGGAATGGCTGGGGTGGGGCAAGGAGCTCTTCCCTGCTGCAGTTAGGTGTGAATGTTTAGCTGATCACCTTCATTAGCATTTGAAGGCCTGCCTGAGTCTGGGAAAATCTGTTGCTGGGAGGTGTTAATCTGTGCCTGGTTTTTTTCCTCTCTGTTGTTTAGCTGTTATAATTTTAGAGTTCTGATATAGTCTGATCACTGGGAGTTGCAGTCTAGGAATATTGACAAGATGCACAGACAAAAGCCTTTTTAAAAGGCACAAAGATTTTGTCTTAGTGCTTTCACCATCATTCTTCTTTTATTCATTAGCACATAATATTTGTAGTGTACCTGTTGAATTTAAGGGCAGCTTCAGATTATGAGCCCTTTCTCCTTCTGTCTTGCTGGACAGGACTCTTATACTGTTTTCAGGCAGTGATGAAAATGTCTGACCTGATCTGTTTTCCTGCTAAAACATAAGGCTGTTGTTTAAAAATATACCCATGTTTTAGGACATTCACCTTAACACTATTTCCTTGGTTTATTTCTTCTCTGACCATCACATTTATATATGTTTTTCTGATTTAAAAAAAACCCTAAAGTTAGAAAATAGCTATATTAGACTGCTTGTAACTAATTATATTTCTGCACTTTTCTTTTCTGCTAGAGAGCTAGCATTCTCCCACTATCATCTCACAAATGATGCACATATTTGTTTTTCAGTCTTATACTTAGTCCACCTTGGACTTTGCTCCCTGCTTCAGACCTTTTAAACTGTGGAGATATTTTCCATATATTTTCAAATAGTATCCAAATAAAAATATAAATTAACTTTGAAAATCCAATCCATTGTTTACATAAAAAATGTATGAAAATATTTTATTAAAATGAAATGAATGAGGTTCAACAGTGGCAATAATCATTTGTTATGTACACACATATATATTCTTTCTTTTTTTTTTTGCCCAAAGACTCAAATCAAAGTATGCTCACAATGAACTTCAAATTAGTTTGAACGCAAGACTAATGCATAACAAAAATGCGGACAGGAGGACTACAAGACAAAACTAGCCAAATCTGAGATGTATTGTCTCCAACAGAGGCATGCTTGCATAACTCTTTCAGGTATGTTGACACAACCTGAAATCAGATTAACTGGCACTCAACCCTGCACTAGTATATAATCACATAACAAGGTGTCTACCACTAAGGTGACTATATATAATTTTGTGACAGGCACAGTTAAGAATACATGACTGCACTCTTCAAGCAATCCATTCACCAAGAAGACTTTTTTCCCAATGATTTCTTTGGTAATATAAAAGTTTACAGGGACCTGATGAAAGCATTTTATGAGGCTTGGAGCCCAGGCCTATAATAGTAAGCATGAAATCAATGGTCTAAGTATGTCCATTTATAGACTCTTAGCAGAAACCACAGGAAGTGAAGTTAAGAGATGGAGTTGCAGCAGCTAAATTAGGCTGTCAGGCAAGTTGGTACTGTAGTGGCTTCTTGTCTGTTGAACCCAAAAGTAATTATTGTTTGTATGTGTACTCTAACATAAATAAAAACATACATGGGATTAAATATGTTCACTTAATTGTGGTACTTAGTTGCAATATGATACTATACATAAAGAACATATACGAAATCTAATGTAGATAGTTTCGGAATTGTGTGACAAGCAGTTAATAATAGTGCAAAAATTATGTAATTCTTTAAATTTATGCAGAAAATGAGGGAGTGAGGTTTATTTCCAAACACATCAATGTGCACAAAAATAGCTAAGGAAATGGTAACAAGAAAACCATATGAGGATCAGACTAACTACAAAACTACTTGCAGGAACACCTCAGCAAGCGAGGGTCCAAAAGTGGCAGGCTAAAACCCGGAACCTCAATCCATGGCTGATAACAGATGAGAGATTCCCTCCTGGGCACACAGAAGACTGAGTGACTTGGAAGGCACTGAACAGGCTGCGCTCTGGCACCACGAGATGCAGAGCCAATCTTAAGAAATGGGACCACAAAGTGGAGTCCACGACATGCACAAAGGAGGATCTTCTCACAGTGACACTAGAGGCACTGTCCAAGTGGCCAGCTTCTGGTCAAAGGACGTTTAGTATAATGCCAAGTTTTTAACTTTGTGCTTTTAAATACATTATAACTGTACCCTCTATTTGCTTCTGACACGATAAATAAATAACTACAAAAATAGAGGTGCAAAAGCAAAGATCTTACCTGATGCAAAGAAGTAATGTTCTGCAAGTTCTTTGTGGCTATTTGTGGGAAGAGCGCATCTTGTGATTGGAGTTGTGGCTGGTGTTTTACAGCACTGGAAACCAAATGGGTCTTAGTCTCCAGGTGTGGGAGAACACGAATGCCGCTATTTACTTTCTGATGAGAGCATAACACAAAACAAATGCTTGAATTTGTTTTAATAAAGCATTTTAAACACTGATTTTTTTTCTAAAGAAAGGTATGCAAAAATGAAGTAACACTGGGCCAACACACATTTTGGTGCTTCAAGTATTAGTCCTGTTTTTGGGTATATTTGACCTGCGGATTCCAAAAATGGCATCTGTTTCCCCCATCTGCTGTTTTGAATTACAAAACATATGCCATTAACCACTCTGCTTGCTCATTAAAAAATCAAGATATTTTAATGTAGTGTTTAAATTAATATCTTTTAAGCATGAAAGAAACATATTAAAATTAAAAGAAAAGCGTACTACATCAATATTTACTTATTTCATAACAAAAGCACAGATGTATGATACAAACTTTACAATCATTCAACACACCATATCCAAAAAATAGAGCTTGTGTAGACTATCTGATGCAATGTTCTCAGTCAGCTCATCTACACCTAACCAAGTACTCCCTAATAGAGCTTTGCACCCAAAATCACATGGTTTGAGGTCAAGATTAGGTTCCCAGCCATGTATTAGACATGCTGCTTGATGAGAGGCTCAATGCATGGCTGCAAGGTTCTGGTGGGAAAGCAATAGTGGTGGCTCTGAGGAGAAAGAAACATTTTCCCAATGGCAACAGCTCTTGGACCTTGTTACACACGCTGCAGTAATTGCCATGGATCGTGGAAATCTTGGCAGTGACTGCCCGAGAAGCATGGGGACCTGTCGCTCTGTGCCATGCACTGTTCCGGCTTCCCCCCTACCTCATCATATGGGTGTGTGTGTGTGTGTGTGTGTGTGAAGGAGTTGGCTCCATTGATGGCCACTGAAAGATGGGAAGCCTCTCGTTGACCTCTGCCAACAATTTAGCGGCGGTGGTAGGGTTTTGGTGACAGTTCCACTACCAAGCCACCCTGGAAATACTTTTCTGGGGTGTGATGGGAGCCATTGGGCTCCATGGCAGGACAGAGAAATGCCTGCTGCCGAATTTTAGATAATGTGTAGAGACCTTACACTCTCACACTTGGGCATGGTTGGGGAATAGGTGGAGGCTCCAACTCTTTTCATTATTAATAAAAAAAAATAAAAGGAATCAACTAATGTTCAACATACACATACACTCCAGCAAGTAGAACCGAACTCTTTTTTGAAAATGGCAATGCTTGCCAATCTAACAGTGATGTCCCCCTGATCCTGATGGACACATGTAGCAAAAGAACATTTTCCCATGGAAACTGTGGGGCAAGGAGTGAATTTTAAAAACTATCACAACAATCTAAAAGAAATAATTTCACTATTAAACCTCATGTTCATCATACGTTCCTACAATGTCAGAAATAGAGGTGGGTAAGAATTTTTTTTTTTTTTTTTGCTGTTATAGGTGAGACAAATGTACTGGAAGGTTGCGATAACCACATTAATACTTGTGAGAAGTTTGTAATTCCTTTTCTAAGAGTTAAGAATGCGCCCAAATGTGGACTCTTTTTACACAAACACAAACCTTACAAAGCAGGGCGAGACTCATTTCTCCAAGATACTTTGATATCCATTGCTTTCAAGGACCCACCCTGTGGCTATCAAAATGGCATATTGAAGTGGTGTTCCTTATATGAAATGGTGAACAAAACAAGTGCCAGAGAGAGCCTGGATGTGTGCTCTCTCTGGCACAAGAGGCCACAGCAATGCATGCCTACACTTCAGCTTAGCGCCTGGTGCAAAACAAAATCAAGATTTGCTGTTTGGAATCCCCCCCCCCCCCCCCCCCCCCCGAATATCTTCAAACTTGATTGGTTGAACCCATGGATGCAGAAGCAGTGAATAGGGAGGGTCAGCAATACTAAGTTTCAGGAAAACAATCAAGTAAAGCATGTTAATAGGACAAGTCTCACGGATTACCCTAAGCATCAGAGAGGCAATAGAATACATGAAATACGTAAACTTTGATCTCACCTGCTGATGCCGGTCTTTATGACTTAGCCCTAAGTTTCCTTTCTTGAACTTGTGTGTCAAGGATGTATTCTCTTGGGGAATTAAAGAAGGTGCTTCCCAATTTCTTTGGAGTGCACCTTTGGGCTCAGGTAGTGTCTGTAACAATAAGTCGAGATATTTTGAGTCTTACATTTCTGCCTCTCTCTCTTTAAAGCTATATTCTCAAAATTAAAAACGGAATTAGTTTCTATTTGGGAAGACATGCAGGAACACATAGCGTATTTGTTCTATCCATAATGAATTACTACCATTATGGTTGTAACTTGGTTGTAACTTGGTTGCTTACCAGAGAGAAACCTGTCTCACTTGGTGCTTGATCTGACTTTGTTTTGCTTGCTCTATGGCACACATCTCCCTTAGGAGTCTTTCCTATTTGGAAAAAGACAAGTTAAGTGTGCATACCCTAAGTACACAACAGTGTTACAGAGCAATCCTATTGATGTTCATTTGGAATTAATAATTCAGGATGATTATTCCTAGATAAGCTACAGCATGAAAATAATAATAATAATAACAACAACAATATAATAATAATAATAATAATAATAATAATAATAATAATAATAATCTTTATTTATACCCCGCTACCATCTCCCCAAGGGACTCGGTGCGGCTTACATGAGGCTGAGCCCATAATACAACAATACAAGCAATAACAACAACAACACAAGCAATTAAAATCAATAAACAAAAACAGTAAACAATAACATAAGCATTAACAGTAGGACAACACACTTTAAAATCTAAGGGTAGGCCGAATGTAATTATTATTATTATTATTATTATTATTATTATTATTATTAAAAAATTAAAAATAATGCTGGACATGGGCAAAAAAGTGATGGGGCGTTTTGTGGAAACATAATAATAATAATGTTTTTCTAACCCATGCCTCCCTCCCCGAAGGGACTCAGGGTAGTTTCCAAATATAATTGTATTTTATTTATTTAAAATATTTATATTCCACCCTTCTCACCCTGAAGGGGACTCAGGTCAGAGCACAGCATATACACGGCAAACATTCAACATAGAAACATGGCAAAACTCAATGCTGTAAAAATCAAACACATTCAAACATATTCAAACACATTTAAAAACATTTACACATAAATTAACACAGAAAAAGCAACTCTGGCAAAAGTTATAAAACAGCCAAATATCAATGGTCATACTAAACGTTTAAATCTGTATAAAAATAAAGAAGTGTATAAATAAAATTCAATAAAATGAGTCATAAATAGACTTAAATCAGGGGTCCGCAAACTTTTTAAACAGAGGGCCAGGTCACAGTCCCACAAACTGTCGGAGGGCCGGATTATAATTTGAAAAAAACATGAATGAATTCCTATGCACACTGCACATATCTTACTTGTAGTGCAAAAAACACTTAAAAACAATACAATAATTAAAATGAAGAACAATTTTAACAAATATAAATTTATTAGTGTTTCAATGGGAAGTGTGAGCCTGCTTTTGGCTGATGAGATAGGATTGTTGTTGTTGTTGTTGTTGTGTGCTTTTGAGTCGTTACAGACTTAGTTTGACTCTGAGCGAGAGCTGGGTAAATGACCTTGGAGGGCCGCATCAGGCCCCCGGGCCTTAGTTTGAGGACCCCTGACTTAAATGGTTATTGCAAACATGGTCCATTAGGATAGTATTGGTGATATTATTCATGCTCCTCTCTGTAAGCCGACAAACAGAAATAGATTTTTAATTATTTCTTGAAGGAGAGGAGTGAGGGACCGATTCTAATTTCTTTAGTGAGGGAGCTCCAGAGGGAAGGAGCGACTATGGAAAAGGCTTCCTCTCTCGTTCCCACCAGCCATGCTTGAGACAGGGGTGGGACCGAAAGGAGAGCCTCCTCTGATGATTGCAGAGTCCGAGTGGGTTTATAGACAGGAATGTGGGATGTCAAATAGCCTGGGCACAAGCCATTTAAGGTTTTATAGGTGATAACCAACACTTTGTATTTAGCCTGGAAGCAGACTGGCAGCCAGTGGAGCTGCAGCAACATGGGAGTTGTCTGCTCCCTGAACGGCGCTCCAGTTAGTAACCTGGCTGCTAATCTCTGAACCAGTTGAAGATTCTGAACTATCTTTGAATAATAATAATAATAATAAAAAGAAGAAGAAGAAGAAGAAGAAGAGGAAGAAGAAGAAGAAGAAGAAGAGGAAGAAGAACTTTATTTTTCTACCCCGCCTCCATCTCCCCAAAGGGACTCGGGGTGGCTTACATGGGGCCAAGCCCAGGCAAAGTACGATTGAAAGCAAAAAAGCAAAAGCAATAACAATTTAAAACAGCATAAAACAGTAAACAGGAATAAACAAGTATCAAGCAACAACAGGCTAATTATGGAGGGGGGAAGCCTCATGAGGAGTGCACTGCAGTAATCCAAATGGGATGTGACTAAAGGGTGGACTGCCATGGCCAGATCTGGTGTTTCAAGGTACGGGTGCAGCTGGTTCACAAGTTATAATTGTGCAAAGGCACTCCTGGTCACCACCAACACCTGGAGTTCCAGGGTCGGCAATGAGTCCAGGATCACCCCCAGACTGCGAACCTGAGTCTTTGGGGAAGTGTGACCCCATCCAACACAGGCTGTAACCCCACACTCTGATCTGCCTTTCGACTGACTAGGAATACCTCTATCTTGTCTCTATTTAATTTCAGCTTGTTTGCCCTCACCCAGTTCATTACTGATGACAAACACCAGTTCAGGATCAGGACCGCATCCTTGGCTTTAGATGGAAAGGAGTAATAGAGTTGGGTGTCATCTGCATAAATCTCTGGATGATATCTCACAGCGGTTTCATGTAGATATTAAACTGCACGAGGGACAGAATTGAGCCCCGAGGGACCCCACAAACCACTGGCCAGTGGGTCAAACAGGAGTCCCCCACCTCCTTTCGTAAAGCAAAAACTAACCAACTCTTGAAACCTCAAAGGAATCTCTGTTCTTGGGATCAAGCAAACCCTTGTCGGGACTGCCTTCCACTTGGAAATGTATGTCCTCACTGTGAAAGACTATGCGGATCCAGAATAAGCCTCTACCATCATTTGCAGAGCCACCACCAAGACTCTCCACTTGGAAGGCAATCATACTAAACCTCGTGTGATAGCCTATGATGATGATGATGACTGCTACATATATGTATACTGGATTATAGGTATTATTATGCTTTTAAATATGTTACATGCTTCAAAGTTTTACCTTCAACTTGTCCATGAATCATATCAAAATCCATAATTTTGGCCCCCAAATCTGTCCTTGACATATACATGAAGTCGACTTATACATGAGTATATATGGTACATTTCAAAAATAAACTCAAAAAATAAACTTTTACTTACGATAGGAATCTGGCTGACCTGATCCAATTCTGTTTTTCTCTCCATCTTGTTTTGAGTTGGCAATAGCAGCACTAAATTCTCTTTCCTATGCAAATAAAAGGACAAATACCTAATTAATCCATAAGAATTATGAATCAATACTATTAGAAAATGTAGCTGACCAAACATTTAGTTGAAAAATTATTTTTAAACATGTTTATTTCTGATGTAGTCACTTTGCCTCATTCACAAATGTTGCCACAGTTCCAGGAAATGGCATTTTATGTGTGTAACCATCTTGTCCCATAAACATTTTATGTTTACAACCATCTCGTCATTTTATATTATGATATATTGTATTAATACACACATTTTACTACACAAAACTACAGTTAAGATATAATGAAAAAGCAAAAAAGAGTAAAAATCAGAACAATACATAGAGCAACATCAAATATATATCTATTCAACATCTAAGACTAAAATAAATTAAACTAAGTGAGGCATACTGGAGTTATATGTCAGTTCAAACTTTTGTGACAAGAAAGAAAGTATTGGCATACACGTTGCTTACCTTTTGAAATATTCCATTTGCTTTTTCTCCAGGTTTTAGTATAACAGGCAGAGCACTTGATCTTCCTCTTCTTGTTTTTTCAGATTTGGTGGCAACCTTTTTCCTAAAGAATATGTCATCAAATAAAATCTGTAAATGTAAAGAGTGTGTGCTTTGCATTTTAGGAATATAAGATTAACATATGTGTGATGATTATTTGAACCATTGCTTCTCAGGCTATCTTATGTGGAGGACTAAACCATTTTCCCATATGTGCCAAAAAAACCACCACTTCTATAGCACTGATTTAAGCTACCCAGAGATTATGATGAATCAAGAATCTATATACATAGCTGCCCCCTATGTCTCTGTAGCTTGACAAACAGGACAAGAAGATTGCTGTTTTGCAGGGTAATAAGAGGGAGAGGCCCGTAGTGCTGAGACAGTTCTCTAAATAATATATTTCACCAGATAGATGATGAGAGAGTTCCCACAAAATTATAAGCCACAGGAACATGGATGATATTTTCAGTCCTCAAAGAGCATTTAGCCCCCAGAGCCTCCGGCTGGGTGTCATCATGTCCTTAATATCAGGAAAAATATTAGAACAAATTATAAAGAGGTCTCTTTCTAAATATCTAAGTCACAATGTAATACTTAGGAGGAGCCACCATGGGCATGTAAAGAGAAACTCCTGTCAAATGAATATTATATGAAACAAATATTATATCTCTTGACTGAATAGCTAGTGTAGTAGATAGTGGGAATGCTGTCAATGATGTTTATCTGAATTTCTGCAAAGCATTTGATAAAGTCTTCTTTGATAATTTAGCAAATTGTTTACATGTGGAGTAGATGGAAACACGTCAGGGGAACCCATAATTGGTTGGGAAGTGGGATTTAAAAAATCATCACCAATGACTGAGCTTCAGGCAGGACGGAAGTCGTGAGTGGAGTGCGACAGGGTTGTGTCCTGCAGCTGATACTCTTCAATATTTTTGATCAGTGACTGAGATGGTGGGTTAAAAAGGGAATCTTTATGAAGTTTGCAGATGATATAAAACTGGGAGGCATAGGATCAAAAATTGAAACTACCTTGATAAACCAGAAAATTAAGCTAAAATAAACAATAAAGGCACATATATTTAGGCCACAAACAATAGAGGCTGGGCTAGTAGCACAACTGGTTAATCAGTTGCAATAAATCACTGCCAACCAAAAGGTGGCAAGTTTGAAGCCTGAGTCGGGGTTGAGCGTCTGACTTTTAATATCTGTTTTTTAAAAAGCTGTTAAAAAATGCCCAGCTCCCTGTCAACCTAAGCAATTCGAAAACAGCTGTAAGCTGTGAGTAGAGAAATTAGGGACCACTTAAAGCGGAGAGGCTAATTTATGACACCATAAAAGTGCTGGAGAGCAAGGAGGAAATGCTACGATCAAAAAGGTTCAACGTCAGTGGACGAAATGACTGCTCTCCTGGTGCTGAATTGAGCAACCTCCAGGAGGATCCGAAGTGGAAGAACTGCTGAATGGCCTCTATCTATCTGTATGTCTTGTATGTCAAAAACGGCATTGAATGTTTGCTGTGTATATGTACATTGTGATCTGCCCTGAGTCCCCTTCGGGGTGAGAAGGGCATAATATAAATACTGTAAATAAATAAATAAATAAATAAATAATTTAGGATGTATATAGGATGGGGGTTACCTGGTTCAGTAGTAGTGCATGTGAAAAGGATCTTGAAATTATTCCTGGTCATAAATTGAATGAGACTATGAAGTGTATCTATGGATACAGAATCTGTAGATATAGAGGTTACTTAGCATAAGCACAGTAGACATAACCTCTTTTAACAGTTCTCAGCTGTAATCCAAAATTTAAATCTAATTTATGCTTAAAGAAAATTTAGAGCCTACTGACACATTGTCCATACATTTTTACTTTCCTCTTACATAAAATCTGAAAACATGTTTTATGGTATGGATGACTATAGTTGCTAGCATAGTTGCTTCCTCTGTGTGTAAAGTGATTACTAGCCAAGTTTTTGACCAACTGTTTAAGAAGGTTTAAATGCAATAAACTGAAATACGATTTAGATCAGGGGTCCTCAAACTTAGGCCCGAGGGCCGGATACGACCCTCCAAGATCATTTTACCCGGCCCTCGCTCAGGGTCAACCTAAGCCTGAAATGACTTGAAAGCACACAACAACAATCCTATCTCACCAGCCAAAAGCAGTCTCACACTTCCCATTGAAATACTAATAAGTGTATATTTGTTTAAATTGTTCTTCATTTTAATTATTGTATTGTTTTAAAGTGTTTTTTGCACTACAAATAAGGTATGTGAGGTGTTCATAGGGATTCATTTTTTTTTTCAAATTATAATCCAGCCCTCCAACAGTTTGAAGGACTGTGACCTGGCCTTTTGTTTAAAATGTTTGAGGACCCCTGATTTAGACAATAATCAGTAGTAAAACATCTTAACAATTGTTTAAAAAACCCCAAGGTTTTAGCTGCACTTCTCAAAGGTCAAGTTATGTGAGTTTTATGTGTGGCCTCCATAAATGAAGCAACATAACCCAAAATACCCTGCTTCTTTCAATTTGATCATTTCTCCATTGAAAGTGGTGAAACCTGTAATAGGGTGATCGGATTTGAATTTACTTACCAGCTGAGAGTATCAGATGAAAGATTCACTCTAATACACATGTGGTTTAATTGAAATGTGTAAGAAATAGATGGTTCACAATTTCTTACCTTGGCAGAACTGGCTGAGATGTTATCAGCTGTGGGACCAAAGCATTAATCTTGTTATCTGAACACTCCTCCATTGATCTTAATACAGATAAAAATGTTTTCCAGGAGATTTCCAGAGAATCTCCAGTTTCTGCTGTGGAGACTGGAGAGAGATTTAAGTTGCATGGAGTTGGGTAGGCAATCTTCTGTGGAGCATCTGGACAGCCAGTTCTTTCTTGATAATCCCCCGTTTCCAATTTGTGGCCAGCAGCAGATTTCTGTTTATTCTGCTCCAAAAGTGAAGGTCTCTTTTTTTGTGGCATCCCCACTAGATGCAGGAGTTCATCAAATGAACAGCAAACTCTACAGAAGGCACAGGAAATCAGCTACCAGCTAAACATCTAGTGTGTAGACTAAATGAAGTCGTGGCCTACCATTGTCATGATTCAGTTCTGCGGTTTTTAAACCTTTCCCCACAATATTTATAGCTTCCAGGGGCAACAGGATAATAGGTGCATGATGGGCCAGTGGAATTTTTCAGATGATTGTGCCTGTGATGTAATAATGCCATTTGTGAAAGGTTGGAATTCTTTCTGATATAGTGATCAGGTTCCATGGAACTAAAGACTTGCCATCAGAAAGTAAGTGGCAAGAAACACCAGTTTTGATGCATTTCCTACAAAGGTTCCATTTCCCTGTAAATGTTTTGATGTTTTTACTTTATTGTTATGTTGTTTATTTTATTGCAATTTGTATTTTTGTATTGCAATTTGTTGTTCGGGCTTGGCCCCATGTAAGCCGCTCCGAGTCCCCACTAGGGGAGATGGTGGCGGGGTATAAATAAAGTTTATTATTATTATAAATAGACTACTTGACATGGTTTGTTCAGTAATCTGCTCCAGACTCTCTCCTGCCAGTCTGCTACTGAGCTCTGGTATAGATATCAGGCTGAGTGGATGGTAGTTATTTGTATCCTCTTCTCCTTTTTTGAACACGGAGACAACTTTTGTCCTCTTTCCATTTGCTGGGAGTTTTGCCCTCCATGAATTCTCAAAGATTATTGCTGGTGATCCTGGGATCACTTCTGTCAATTTTTAAAAAAATACACATTCTGTTCCTGGAGACTTGAATTCATTTATAGTAGCCAGATATTTCTGTATTCCCTCTTGCCTCCCCTGTACTGATATTTCACGATAAATTGAGAATAGGTGTGGTTTACATGTATGTATTGGGGCAGCTGGGACTTCCAGGAAGATTTCTGTAGTATCACCAAGATCCTGAAGTTGATTACTGGAATCAAGGACATGCTTGGGAAAAGGGGACTGAGAACACGTGGCCGTCCCCTGCCATGCGTTGCTGTGGCCCAGTCTGTGTATATGTGTTTTGTGTGTGTGTATATATATATATTTGTGTATATATGTGTGTTTGTGTATATATGTGGTTTTGAGCATGTGTTGTAATTTTTTGTTTTGTTTTTAGTCTTTTAAGTGTCTTCTGTTGTGTTTTTATGAGTGATGGTCACTCATTGGCCTGATAGGTGTATTGTGTCCAAATTTGGTGTCAATTCATCCAGTAGTTTTTTAGTTATGTTAATCCCACAAACGAACATTACATTTTTATTTATATAGATGTATTAATTAGATTATCTTCCCCCACTGTTTTCTCTCAGGTGACAATGTAGCTAAAATCAGGTTTCAGGGTAACTCAGGGCCCTTCAGGACAGGCCTTATATCCCAGGATATGATCCCAGGTTTTCTGTTTACCCTACATTATCTCGCAATGCGGACTCATATAATCCAGTTTAAAGCAGAAAACGTGGGATCGGATCCTGGGATATTGGGCCTGTCTGGAAGGGCCCTCAATGTATTTGGTAAGGGGCACTTGTCACTTAAAGACTGACAATTTCAAAGACAACAGCAACAATGATGATAGAATAAGGTATTTTATATTTAGGCAAGATGTATTATTATTTAATTATTTACAGCATTTATATTTCATCCTTCTCACCCTGAAGGGGACACAGGGTGGATCACAGAACACATAACACATTCAATGCCATTAAACAGACAGGCAGACAACACATAGAGTTATATGTTGGCATTTTTCCCAACTTCGGCATCCTGGAGGTTGTGCTCATTTCCGGTTACAAGGGGGTGCTGTTGCTCCATCCTCTATGACAAATAATGTAATAATAAACTTTATTTATAACCTGCCTCCATCTCCCCAAAGGGGACTCGGGGCGGCTAACATGAGGCCGAGCCCAAGAATAATACAGCAAAATTAGACACAAAACAACAGAAAATTACGTAAAGTAACAAAATAAAACAATCCTTGTAAAATAACATAATAAAAATCAAACACAAAGGGCGGGCCCTTAATCACAGATTTCCTCCTTCCTTTGATCGCTGGCATTTTTCTGGTACTTCCTTTTTATAGTGCCGTAAAATACCTCCCTGCTTAAGAGGTGCCAAATTTCTCTATTCACAGCTCACACTTGTTTTCACACTGCTTAGGTAGACAGTGAGCTGGGCTGAAGGTTGGGTGCTCACCCCGACCTGGGCTTCAAACTGCCAGCCATTCGATTGGTGTGATCTATTGCTCCTAGTGATTACTCAGCTGTGCTAAAGCCCGGCCCTTTAAAAGAATTATAAAAGCAGAAAACATATTTTAAAATCAAGAAAGTTTAGGTGTTATTCCTCCTGGAATAATGGACATATCTGAGTAGTATACTAATATTAACTGACACTCCAGGAACAAAGAAGAGAGTCATTTAAACATATTAATGAGTTAAACAATTAATTAATTTCAAATTAATTCCAGAGTCATTAGCTGAATCTTGTATTTTTAATTATTCCTTTATCCAGCTACCTCTGATATATTAAGTCAGGTAGGAAGCTGAACATCTATACTAGACATTTCCCTGTCAAAATCTTTAGGGATCAAAGTAGACAGATTTCCGAAACTGACCAGAGTAAGGCACATGGCCAACATAGATATAACGCAAACATCTAATTCAAGGACTTTGTTACTTACGCATTGGTGCTCAGAAGTAATTTGGTGCCAGTATTGCTAGCTTCAATACAATTCCTTGATTAATTTACAATGCAATTTATCCTATTTCCTATCATCAAACCAGGAAAGAGCCACATGTAAACACCAGTCCAGAACTCATTTTCCTCACAGATTTGGAAACCTCTCATTGTACTTGTATGTGCTATAAACACATGGCTTCTCTAGAAAAAGCAGTATTAGAGCGGCCACTTGTTTTTGAGACAAACCTGCAACTGGTCCAGTTGTGTTATGTTTTTAGTCTGTCAGCACTGTGAAACATGCCAGATTTTACAGTGGAAAGAAATGGCAAACTCAAGTAACATTTTCCATTTCTAAAAACATTTTATTTCATTTCTATAAAAGTGACAGTACTCTGTATATATTTACGATTAAAATGCATACCTATACACAAAAATCAAGTAAAGGAGGAATAACATAAGGCATTTGTGTCAGAGAAACTGCAGCACAAACTCCTCAAAATAAGTTTTTCCTATTAAGAAGATGATATTTTGGTAGAACATTAAGATTGCTTGTAACTTAATCAAAATGCCCAACTCATCCAGTCCAGAGCCACAATTGATGGATTTATTCTAATTTCTGACTTTCATGAAGCCACAAATGCACAAAATATCAAGCCATTACATGTCCATATAACTGGAAAGAATTGGCGAATTGTTTGAACAGTGTCTACGGATGCACCAATATTATTTAAAAGTGCAAACACTTCAGGTAGCACAGGTTTTTGTTTTTTTTTTTAAAAAAACCCTGCTAATCCTACTAATCAGTAGGTTTTTCTATCTCAAATATGTTCTTTTAAAAAATGAGACATTTTCTCCACCTGATCTTTTGATTTCATTTTAGAGTCCTCTGAAGATGTCACAGCCATTCTCAGATGTTGGCAAAACGTGGGTGCAATGGTTTCACTTTTGCCAACCGGGAGAGGCCAAGCCTGAGGCCTTGTGTGGGTGATTTTGTAAGGACTCCCTTCCTCTGACTGGGATTAGGATTGTGTCCAGCTGCATCTGAAAAGATTATTGAAAAGTGGCCTTAAGAAAGATTTAAGTATGCTTCTTGAGATTTCATTCAAACTACATAACTACATTTGCACATAATGTTTCACAACATACAAACTAGTCTCCAACATAGTTCAAACACCTATATTTTGAGAGGCTGCTATACAATGAACATTCAAGTGTAAGTGAGTTATATCCTTTCAAACAAGAGATGAGAAAGCTAACTACTAATTCTGCAATACACTCATTTTCCGATCCCAATTCAAGGTGCAGGTTCTTACCTACAAAGCCCTGAACGGTTTGGGACTTGCCTACCTGCATGACTGCATTTCTGTTTACGAACCCATACGATCTCTTCAATCATCTGGAGAGGCCCTGCTCTTGCTCCCACCCCCTTCGCAGGCGCGATTGGTGGGGACGAGGGAGAGGGCCTTCTCTATGGTGGCCCCCCAACTCTGGAACTCACTCCCCAAGGATATAAGACAGGCCCCCACATTGGCAGTCTTTAGGAGGAGCCTGAAAACGTGGGTGTTCCAGTCTGCCTTCCCCAAATAAAGGAAACAATGCCCTGCTCTGATCAATTCCCTGCAAAATGTCCTCAGAAGTACTTTAACTACCCATTGGGTTGGTCTCCCTACATTATCCTTTAAAACCCTCCTGCTTAGATACATCCTATATCTGTTCACACCCAGTGTTTATTTTAAAATTTTAATCTATTACATCTGGCCCGGCCATAAGGTTTTTAAATTTTTGTGTGTTATTGCTTATATGTAAGTTATATTAATTGTACTGTTTTATTTGCTTGCTGCTTTGTTGTTTACCGATGTATTGTTGGGCTTGGCCTCATGTAAGCCGCCCCGAATCCCCTTGGGGAGATGGTGGCAGGGTATAAAGTTATTATTATTATTATTATTATTATTATTATTATTATTATCTTCTTAAATAGACTCAAACAGACTGTTATCACTATGTAACAAAATTTGAAAATGTTCTGTTCCTGGTTTAAATATGTTATTTCCTGTTTAATTGTGTGGTACTTACTTGGAAAGTAGTTGTTATACTCCAGAAACCTTGTTTTTGTGGATGCCACAAACTATGCTGAAGTGCTTGAAATTCTATGATATTCATTGAAAAACTATAGCAAAATGTGCTGCAGGATGTCCCGCAAAAACAAAGTGTCTGCATTTTAATAAACTTTTTTCATGTTTTTATGATAGAACCAAACAGGAAATGACATTTTAAACTCAGGAACAAAAATTACGTTACATAGTGTATTCAACTGTCAGTCTCCCTTGAAAGAAGCAAAGGAAAGTAGCCAAACTTTATCAACTATGTGAGTTAGAGAGAAAAACAAAAAGCTGTGCTACATAATGTCAAATATTAAAAATGACAGATATAGTTGTAAGGAGAGATTCCAACCACCCTGATATTTGTTGGAAGTCACACTCTGCTAAGAGCATAAGGTCCAACAAATTCCCCATCTGCCTTACAGACAACTTCATTGTGCAAAAGGCGGAATATGCAACAAGCGGATCAGCTATTTTTGATCTGATTCTATCAAAAAGAGATGAATTAGTCAATGAGGTGAAAACACGATCTTTGGGTGGGAGTAAAAATGTTTTCTTGGGATTTGTTATACGGAGGAATGGTGAAGCAAAATGTAGCAAGAAATACACTCTGTACTTCAAGAAAGCTGATTTCAGGAAACTTAGGGAAATACCAGTCAAGATGTCATGGTCAGAATCCTACTCAAATTATTTATTTATTCATTTACAGCTTTTATATTCCGCCCTTCTCACCCCGCAGGGGACTCAGGGCGGATTACAGTGTACACATATATGACAAACATTCAATGCCAATTTTGACATACAACATATACAGACATAGACAGAGGCTATTTAACTGTCGCTTTCATCGTCCATCTGTGACACTGATGAAGTACTTCCGCATTCCCCGCATGCTTTTTGCTGGAGTGCTTGCTGGAGTCTTTTTTTTTAATGGCCTCATAAATTAGTTAATTTAGCCTCCCCACACTTTAAGGTGGTACCTAATTTTCCTACTTGACAGATGCAACTGTTTTTCGGGTTGCAAAGGTCGACAACAGGCTACACAATTGGTTGGAAACCCACTCCAACCCGGGCTGGCTTTGAACTCATGACCTTTTGGTCAGAGTGATCTTAATGCAGCTGACACTCAGCCAGCTGCGCCACAATCCCGGTGGATTGTGGTGCAGCTCATTATGCATAGGAATTTCTTAAAAATGGAATATTGCAGTTGCAAACTATTCTAATGAAGAAAAGTGAGAGGTATCTAAGGAGACCAAGGGTGGGTGTATAATAATAATAATAATAATAATAATAATAATAATAATAATAATAATAATTTATTTATACCCCGCCACCATCTCCCCAAGGGGACTCGGGGCGGCTTACATGAGGCCAAGCCCAACAACACATCAGTAAAAGAACAAAGCAGTAAGCAAATAAAACAATACAATTAATATAACTCACATATAGGCAATAACACACAAAAATTTAAAACCTATGGCCAGGCCAGATGTAATAGATTAAAATTTTCAAATAAACACTGGGCGTGAACAGAGGTAGGATGTATCTAAGCACGAGGGTTTTAAAGGATAATGTAGGGAGAGCAACCCAATGGGTAGTTAAAGTGCTTCTGAGGACATTTTGCAAGGAATTGGTCAGAGGAGGGCATTGTTTCCTTTATTCAGGGAAGGCACACTGGAACAGCCACGTAAAAAAAAACTTCCAGATGAGCTCAGAATTGTAAGAGGCATAAATAAAAAAATGAAAGAAGGGGAAAACATCAAAAATGAAAACAAATGAATAGCCGATACTAACAGGATGAAAGTTGGAAGAGCTCAATCTTCATTCAACATTAGTAGTTTTGAAATACAGTATGTTGCACATGGGATGAAAGACAGCAGAATCTTACAAATCCCTCATTTTTGGCTAAGCACATAAAGGACAGTTGAACCTTGTTGTTTCTGATTTATGCAAACCTGTTCATGAAGGTTTTCTTAGCAAGATTTGTTCAGATGTGGGTTTCTATTGCCTTCTTGTGAGGGTGATTCACCCAATGCCACCCAGTGAGTTTCTATAGCTAAGCAGCAAATCAATCCCATCCTCAATAGTCAACAAACCACTACATCATGCTAGCTCATAGCTGATCCACGATCGGAATAACTAATTATCTCCTTAAAACGACATCACGATTATGAGAACAACAATAAGTAACAGCACAGGAGTTTTTAAAAATCATGAAATCTTTAAAATTACCTTGTTTCTGTAAATTTTGCAGGATATTGCTATTTTCTGATGGTTCATTCACTGACAATTCTAAGGCAATTTCCATGTCTTTCTTGTATAGTTTGTCATCCAAGACAACTCTGAAACAATTTAAGAAGCACATTTTGAAAATATATGTTAAATATCAGTCGTATTCTAGATGCTGGCTTTAAATGTTTATAAAAGGAGATCCTTTAAAAAAACAGAGAATGATAAAGATTAACACCAACTTTACTATTTACTAATAGTGTTAAGAATATACAAAAAAATGGGGCAGAGCTTGCATTCTTGATGATGGGTCCTATTTCTCTCTACGTTCCACCTCGTAATTTAAGATCTACTGGGGAGGCCCTGCTCTCGGTCCCACCAGCGTCTCAAATGCGTCTGGTGGGAACAAGGGACAGGGCCTTCTCAGTGGTGACTCCCCGCTTGTGGAATTTGCTCCCCAGCGAGATTAGATCGGTGTCCTCCCTCCTTACTTTTACGAAAAAACTAAGGATGTGGTTTTGGAGCTACTGTGCCCACTAGTCTTTGGCTAGTGGGCACAGCAGCACTTTATAGACATTGAACTCAGACAATAGGATTGTTATGACAATTGGAAACGGCTATATGACTTGCGATTATGTGATTTGTTCTATGTGATTATGTAATTTTAATTAATATCACTGTTTTAATTGTTATGTAATAGGATTTTATATTGCTTTTATTGATACTGTTGGCATTGAATTGTTGCCTGTGTTAGCTGCCCTGAGCCCCACCTCGGGGATGAGAAGGGCGGGGTAGAAATGGTGCAAATAAATAAATAAATATTTTGTTAACCATAATTGAAAGGGAGTCAATTAGACTTCTGTGCTAGCCATGTAAGTCACATCCAAACAGATGTTAAAATAAACAAATGTTAGATTTTTTAAATACATCTATTATTTTTTAATTGTGTGATTTATCTTACGTCTCAATTGGTGAAAGCTTCTGTGACTTCTGTGGCTGAATGTCATCTTTACGGGACTGTTTTTGATGATCAATTTTCTCCTTCTTCGACTCTGAGCACTCTCTCTTTGATTTTTTCTTTGAATGGACAGTTACACTTGCGAAGTCATCATCTATTTAACAAAAATCCTTTAGAAGTAAATTACTTAAATCCAAACTAATATATAAATTTCAACAATATCCCAGTGACTGGCACAGCACAACACAAAGTTGAAAATGGTGTAAAATTACTTGTAATTCTAAAGCAGTGTATTATGGGTTTGAAGCTTGACTAACACATATTAGAGGTGCAAAATGCAAACTTCTGATAGATGAGGTTTATTTCTATTATCTTACATGCCAGAGTGAGCAAGTGCACCTTGTGGATCACATGTCCAATTTTTTTTAACTGTCTACCAATTCCTTGCAATTATAAGTCTTGCCACTGTGAGTAAAATAATCACCAGTTCCTATTTTTAAACTAGAGATGACTTACCATCATCATCTTTATCTCCAAACTGAGAGTAGTCGACTACTTTCTTATTCCTGGGAGGAAAAAAAAACATACTCAGAATACAAGAATCACCTTTTTGTCTGCTCATGGTAGCATCACAGATTTTAAAAAAAAATTAGCACACAATGTAATATGTTTTACAATTCTAAGTAAATATATTTAGTTCATCACTGATCAAGACACTTGAAAATGATTAAAAACAGCCATGGAGAGTCCACCGCCCTCCAAGGAAATGTATCACACTATTAGGCTACCCTTACAGTAAAAAAAAAAGTCCCACTTAATGATTAGGTAAAATCTCTGTTCCTGTAATTTGAATCCATTGGTTTAGTCCCTTTAACTCTAAAGCAAGGCTTCTTAACCTTTTCTCCTTGGGACCCATAATGGCCCGAGAAATGTTTACATGACCCCAGATATATAAGTAAATAAAACAGGTACAAAAATCAAATGTTTACTGCTTTTAAAAAAATCAGCATTTGCATGTAAGGCTTGCTAAATGGGCAGATTTTTCTTTTAATGAAGTACAGTTGAAGCATTTTCCTAAGAGTCCACGGTAAACACTACACAATAGATTCGTTTAAATATCTAAAACAGCCCCTGGGTGATGTTCAGAAATGTTTTCGTGATTCCAACATTGCGGTAAAGGGATCCCATTTCGGGTTGGGACCCACAGTTTAAGAATCAGTGCTCTAGAGCTGCACAAACCAAGCTTGCTTTATACTCTATATCAGTGTTTCTCAAACTCTGCTCCTCCAGAAATTTTGGATTTCAACTGCCAGAAATCCCAGAATTAGAATTTTGGGAACTGAAGTCCAAAACATCTGAAGGGACAGAGTTTGAGAAACACTGCTCTACATGAAATCTTTTCAGATATTTAAAGATAGCTCTTTAAATACTGAAATGTTACTTCTCAGGGCCCTTCCACACAGCCACATAACCCAGAATATCAAGACAGAAAATCCCACAATATCTGCTTTGAAACAGGCTATCTGAGTCCACTCTGCCATATATCCCAGTTTAATGCAAATAATGTGGGATTTTATTCAGCTGTGTGGAAGGGGCCAGTCTTCTTTTCTCCAAACTAAACATAACAAGATTCCTAAGTCATTTCTCGTATGGTTTGATTTCCAGATCTGTTATCAATTTGGTTGCCCTTTTCGGGACATGATCTACGTTAATAATTTGAATTGTGCCCAAAACTGGACACAGTACTCCAAGTGAGGTTTAATTGAAGCAGAATATAATGGCACTGGTACTTCCTTTGCTCTAGACCAGGCCTGCATAACCTGTGTCCCACTAGCTGTTTTGGCCACCAGCTCCCAGAATTCCTGGCCACTGGACAAGCTGGCTACGGATTCTGGGAGTTGGAGGCCAAAAAAGCTGAAGAGCCACAGGTTGTGAAGGCCTGTTCTAGACACTATACTTCTGGTGATGCAGCCCAGAATTGTATTGGATTTTAAGGCTGCCATATCATAGTGTTGATTTATGTTTAGTTTGTGGTCTATTAAGACCTCTAGATCTTTTTCACATGTACTGCTATTATGAGATCTATCCATTTCAAACAATAAAAACCTGACTTACAGTAAAAGCTACTAATTTTAGGAGACATTACGATTAATACACACTGTAACATGAAAGAGGAAGAGCTTTCAAGAAGTTTTAATGAGAATTCCTCTAACTTCAACACTATGTGGTAAATCCAGATGGTAGCTGAATTCAAAAACACCCCCATTTTGCCACTAAAAAATAAACCCAATATTAATGTAATACTTCAAAATCATACTGGTTGTTTTATTTACAAGGACAAAATATTTGAATTTAGCTGCTCTGTGTCCCTTTTGGGAGAGGGGACAGGATACAAATAAAAATTATTATTATCATTATTATTACTATTATTATTAGGCTAATATATTAAATGGGGTGGCACTGAATATTGTTTTACTCTAAGAATGTCACTTTAACAAACATAGAACTAATCAATTGACAAGGGAAATGATGGTGATTGATAGAAACCACATGCTAGCAGCTTTGATAAGTTTATCCATAATAGAACTCTAAAAAAAATGATCAATTCCCTGACATGACTTTTATTTCTTCATTTCTTTCAGGACTTCTTCGGCATTTTTCTGTGATCTCAACAAATTATTTCAACAAATGTTCACTCTTTTCTAATACATTTGAATAATCTCTTAGATCTAAATTGGACAACAAATATTAAATTTATAGCCCAAAACTGGAATTATGTGTTTTAGGATAATCAATGGTTTTGTTTACTTTTCTCTTTATTGACAAGTTACTACCAACAGCTATCATAGATAACAATCAAATTAATTAAAAAGGCGGTCTCATTTATTATTCCATATGGCAACCCATTTTAATAAATTTCTCTCTTTCTCAAAGATGTAAAAATATACAAAAATAATTGCAACATTTGAAAGAGCTTACAAGATAAAAAGCTACTGCTTTTTGTTTCAATACTATTAAATGACACTGTGAATAAAAATATATTTATATATAACCTTAAATCTATTAGCAAGTAAGACAAGGGAGTTCTAAGGAAACATTATAGCTCAAACAGCTTTGATACGAAAATATATGGCTTTTCTAAGCCAAAGCCCCAAACAAAATTATTGTTTCAGTTTTATGGAAACAGGCCTTATTTCTGGTATACTGAATGTTTAGAACTCCTCCACCTCTCATTTACTGATAAAGGAACTTTTTTAAATGTGCAAGGGCACTTTCCTTTCTATGGCTATTCAGAAACTGCTCAGTCATGACCAAGAAAATTAGAGAATGTTATCAACATACCTACGCACTGGTCGCGCCATTTCCAGTCAGCCTCTAGTTTGTAGTTTACACACAGGATTGCTAAAGCTTTAGTAATGTGAGACAACAACACCTAGGCCCTCTTTGCAGAAGCATGGGTCAAAGTGGCTTGAAAAGCAAGACGTCTACAGATAGCACCTTGCTGTCTGGATATGGAAGTCACTATTTCACATCAGCAACTTCATATCGTCTTCTTTGTCTGAAAAAGAACGGGGAAATTGAGACTTTTAGCACAGCTACAATTAGACAACTAGGTGTCTTGAGTCAAACAGCATAAAGAATATTTTCTCACTGAATTGGAAAAAAGTAGTAGCCATGTTAGTCTGGTCCAGGAGAACAAAAATCTGCCAGAAGTCTTTTAAAAGTTACTGAAAAGTCCCTCTTGAATCTAAACCAAATAATCTTAGGTAACCAGTTCAGAATAAGAATTGAACCCCAAATTGGATGTGATACATTAACTGGCTATACATGATGCAGGACAAGCATTTAACAGAAGTCCAAAATCTGTGAACACTGTAATATGCATGTAAAAGCATTTAATTTTGTTGCATGCAGACACATCTTCATATTGTTTTTTAAATAATAAATGTGAAATGTATTTTCCCCAAATAGTAAAGCATGGTGCTATTAAAACATGGGGTTCCCCTTTAGCTGTATCTTTTTGGGAGGATTGAATTCATTCATGTCTGTTCACAATTATGTACCTGTAATTTTCCTAGGTATCTGTCAACACAGCCTCCAAAAAGTCTTTGAAACACACACAATGTGCGCAGTGTGTAAATTATAAAACCAGTGAAGAAACTGGCCTTATTTTTTTAAAAAAATTTTAGGGAGAAAGATTGCAGTTACCATTTTCTTGATGAAAGTACAGATATCCCTAGGTATATGTGGCCAGGAAAGAGTCTGTGAAAGAAACAAAGAAGACAAATAAATCTCTGGGCTACTTGCTTGCAGAGTCATATTGTTTTGTTTTATTTAGGTACTGCATATAATTTTGGGTGATATTTATTATATGAATAAACAAGAGCTTGATGGGGAGGATGAAGTGAGATTTTTATGGTAAGCCTATAAGAATTATTTGCACTCAGTATTCGTCTCAGAACAGACAGTCCTCCACATTCATGGATCTGACATCCACAGGTTTCATCACCATATTTACGCAAATGTAATGTGCACCTTTTTGGCTAAATTACTGCATGAAAATTAGTTTGTACATTAGCTTTGATGGTGCATTATATATCTCGAAACTTGGAAAACACTGATCATGCTGTACTGCATCCATTCTAGTTCTTTCCCCTCTAAATTACCCTTGTTGCACCGGTGTCTTTTGGATTAAACTGTTTCTTATTTTCAATTTACATACTCATTAAAAACAGTGAAACAAATCTATATACATGTATATGTGCACAAACCAATACTTCCTAACATCTATACAATACTCGTATTTGGTTAGGCTCTCCCCTCCTCCCAATTTAGTGATTTTCCAATGTCTTTTGTAAGGCTTATAAATACTACTTTACGGATAAGGAGAGGCTACATAGTGATGCTTGATTTTGCCCAGAATTTTAGGATTGGTTCTCTATAAGACAATATTAGACTCACGCTAATATGTTTGTTGAATGGCTCAGAAATATTAAAATATTTGTTTAATCTCAAACACGATTCCACTAATTGCGCTGGCATTAAAGACCTTGTCATAAGGTGAAGCCGCATAGTGATAGAGCATCTGTCTATCATTCTGTAGATGGGGAAATCGAGTCCTGCTGTGCATGCTTTCCTTTTGGGGGTGGGGGTGAAGATAAAAATGATAAACATTGTGAGGGTGAATGACACAGGTGAGCAGTCCAACAAACAAGTAAAGAGATAAATTTACTTTTATAACTGAAAGAATCGATAAAAACGAAGAAACAAACCCAGCAAGATTCAATCTTCCCATCTACAGAATAGTAGGCAGACGTTTGACCACTACACTACTTTGCCTCATGACAAGGCCGCATAATTAGTAGAATTGTATTCAAAGTTAAATAACTCAATGCCCATAATCCACTCAAAGAAACTATTGAACACGGATCTAATAATGCACATTACATTCGCCAGCAAATACTTTTTTGTTTGTTTGTTTTTTGGTGTGCATTAGATTAGATGGTGAACCCACCTCATGCTAATTTGGTATCTGCAGATTTGCCGCAATCCCACAAAAAACTGCCCTTCCCCAAATCCATGGCTACATTCACACAACAGTTTTTTGGGCTCTTCGTGGAAGCCCTTCAGCAATCACCATGGTTCCTACCAAGAGCTCTTGAAGCTTATATGTGGGTCTCTAAGGAGTCTGACCGGGTTGAGGGGGGCAGGGAGGAGAGAAGGGGGCGGCCACTACTGTTGTCTCCAAGGGGCTTGCTAGACCTTCCTGTCTCAATCTCCCTGCCTCTCTTTTCCTCAGTTGGGCTGGATATGGAGGGGCTGTAGGTATGATGGGGAAGAGATGGAAGACTTCTTCTTTACATTGGGTCCAGGTTACCTACAGGATCACCTTTCTCTGCATAATTCGCCCCTTCAGACATCACAGTCCTCTTACTCCAACCAGCCAGTACCCAATTGGAAATTGTTACCCAGAGGACCATCCAAAGAGTGTGGAATGACCTGCTGGAAGAGCTTTGACAGTAAAACCATCTGTCAAAATTTAAAGCATGACAGAAGACCCATGTCTTCCAGCAGGCATACCCAGTCAACTTTGAATCATGAGTTTAGGATTTGCATTCTATTACTACTGTTATGTTGATTATTGTACTGCTTTTGTATTTGGTTATGTGTATTTTAGATTGACATATTTTGATTGGGTTGTACCCTGCCTTGAGCCGTTAGGAGAAATGGGTAACAAATAAAATTATTGTTGCTATTACAGGCAGTTACAAACATCCAACCTAAAAACGACTCCTAGTTAGACACAGGGGTGAGACAACAGGAAGTGAAAGAAATCTATCTTTAGGAAGGGAAATTCACTCCTGGAGGAATTATCGGAAAAAAGTGTATCCACTGATGTTTTATCCCAATCCTTGTTTGCACAAAAAGCCTTTTTTTCCCCCAAAATCCAATGATCACAGGGACAGAAAGTAAGATGAAATCTTCTAAACAGGGGCATAGATAGCAAAATAAACAGATAATCCACTATTCAAAAGAGATATTGACAAGCTGGAATGTGTCCAGAGGAGGGCAACTAAAATGATCAAGGGTCTGGAGAACAAGCCCTATGAGGAGCGGCTTAAGGAGCTGGGCTTGTTTAGCCTGAAAAAGAGAAGGCTGAGAGGAGATATGGTAGCCATGTATAAATACATGAGAGGAAGCCACAGGGAGGAGGGAGCAAGCTTGTTTTCTGCTTCCATGGAGACTAGGACGAGGAACAATGGCTTCAAACTAAAAGAAAGGAGATTCCATCTGAAGATGAGAAAGAACTTCCTGACTGAAAGCCGTTCAGCAGTGGAACTCTTTGCCCCGGAGTGTGGTGGAGGCTTCTTCTTTGGAAGCTTTTAAACAGAGGTTGGATGGCATCTGTCAGGGGTGCTTTGAATTATTTATTTATTTATTTAGAACTTTTGTATACCGGTCTTCTCATCTCCGTGGAGGGACTCGGGCTGGTTTCCAACAATAATATCACAAGCAATCGTTTAAAAACATCACATTCCATAATACACTAACACATTAAAATACCAAAAATACAATAATATAATTACAATGGCCAAGTCGACACAATAAAATCGTTGTTCATCACCATCCATTCATATAGCCACGAGTTATTGACTCACTCGTCAAATGCCAGTTTCCAGAGCCAGGTTTTCACCTGTTTTCTAAAAGTCAGGAGAGAAGGGGCAGTTCTAATCTCCAGTGGGAGGGAGTCCCAGAGCAGAGGGGCCACCACCGAGAAGGCCCTGTCCCTCGTCCCTATCAGGCGTGCTTGCAAGGCTGGTGGGACTGGCAGCAAGGCCCCTCCAGACGATCTTAACAATCTTGATGGTTCATAGGGGAGAATCCGTTCGGACAGGTGGTATGAGGGGATGCAATATTCCTGCTTCTTGGCAGAATGGGGTTGGACTGGATGGCCCATGAGGTCTCTTTCAACTCTAGGATTCTAAGACAGTAAATAAAGAACACCTCTCAGGAACAGACTACCACCAATGAAGTGCCAGTTAACAAGGTTCTTGTAGGTTTTTTCGGGCTATAGGGCCATGTTCTAGAGGCATTTCTCCTGACGTTTCGCCTGCATCTATGGCAAGCATCCTCAGAGGTAGTGAGGTCTGTTGGAAATAGGAAAATGGGTTTATATATCTGTGGAATGACCAGGGTGGGACAAAGAGTTCTCTGCTGAAGCTAGGTGTGAATGTTTCAGCTGACCACCTTCATTAGCATTTGAAGGCCTGGCTGAGCCTGGGAAATGTTCTGTTGAGAGGTGTTAAGATGTGCCTGGTTGTTTCCCCTGGTTGTTTCCCCTGGTTGAACCCCACCTCCTCCAAGATGAACTGAACCACCTCAACTGGGCTCTACAGGCCAATGGATCAGACATCAGAAGAGCTGCAAGACCAAGAACAAGCCACGAGAGTAAAGATGAAGATCCACCCAGAGGAAAAGTGTTCCTGCCATACATCAAGGGAACCACTGACCGCATAGGGAAGCTGATGAGGAAACACAACATACAAACAATCTACAAACCCACCAAGAAAATCCAACAAATGCTACGTTCACCAAAGGACAAGAGGGATCCTCTCACCTCTGCAGGAGTCTACCGTATACCATGCACCTGTGGACAAGTCTACATAGGGACCACCAAACGCAGCACTGCCCAGACACAAATCAAGGAACATGAAAGGCACTGAAGACTACTTCAACCAGAGAAGTCAGCCATAGCAGAGCACCTGATGAACCAGCCTGGACACAGCATATTATTTGAGAACACAGAAATGCTGGACCACTCCAACAACCACCATGTCAGACTACACAGAGAAGCCATTGAAATCCACAAGCATGTGGACAATTTCAACAGAAAGGAGGAGACCATGAAAATGAACAAAATCTGGCTACCAGTATTAAAAAACTCTAAAATTGCAACAGCAAAACAGCAGAGAGGAAACAACCAGGCACATCTTAACACCTCTCAACAGAACATTTTCCCAGGCTCAGGCAGGCCCTCAAATGCTAATGAAGGTGGTCAGCTGAAACATTCACACCTAGCTTCAGCAGAGAGCTCTGTGCTCCACCCCAGTCATTTGAATTATTTTATATCCACAGATATATAAACCCATTTTCCTATTTCCAACAGACCTCACTACCTCTGATGATGCTTGCCATAGATGCAGGTGAAACGTCAGGAGAAATGCCTCTAGAACATGGCCTTATAGCCCGAAAAACCCACAAGAACCTAGTGATTCCAGCCATGAAAGCCTTCGACAATACATTGCCAGTTAACACTTCCCAAGTAAAGAAGGCCCCCAGGCAGCAACAGCCAGGCTTTGAAGCTGTAAGGCTTTTCAGTGCTGATCAAGCTGGTCAGGCTTTGAAGCTGTAACCACACTGCCCCCCCTTCCCTTTCCCTCTCCTCATACCCCCGGCTCGCCTCCCTTTCCCGCTCTTCCAGGGCCTTCCTGCCCAACCTTACCTTTCCAGTCAGTCCTCAGCACCAACGATTGCCCCTCGCAGCCGTTACCCGCGCTTTGCGTTTGAGATGCGCCGCGCTCAAAGTGACGCAATAACTAGGCGCCGCCGCGGTGGCCTTCTTCCGGGTTCTGCTTCTTCCTCCTCTTCTCCTGTTTGTGGAGGGTTTCTCAGGGCGCCCCGTTTTGCAGGTTTTTCCTTCAGTGACCTAAAAGTCTAGCTCTTCTGCAGCTTCTCAACTTTACCCTGGTTAAGAAATCTTTTCTCCAGCGAGGCTCTACCTCCATGGCCGCCCTCTGACATTTCCCTTCACACGGGAAGTGTCTGGCTTTACGCTTGTGGACAAAGGTACCAGTTGTCTCCACTTTGCTTCATTGTTTAAGTCAAATCCAAAAGTACACGTTTGTAATATTGTCATGTTGTGCAAAATGAAAAAGAAGGTTTTTCTGGGAATATGTACGAGCACAAAGCATTTTATTTCTCTTCATTGATGGATTATTATTATTGTTTACTAGCCGTCCCCTGCCACGCGTTGCTGTGGCCCACATGGGGGTTCTGTGTGGGAGGTTTGGCCCAATTCTATCGTTGGTGGGGTTCAGAATGCTCTGTGATTGTAGGTGAACTATAAATCCCAGAAACTACAACTCCCAAATGGCAAGATTATATTTTCCCAAACTCCACCAGTGTTCACATTTGGGCATATTGAGTATTCGTGTAGAGTTTGGTCCAGATCCATCATTGTTTGAGTCCACAGTGATCTCTGGACGTAGGTGAACTACAACTCCAAAACCAAAGGACACTGCCCACCAAATCCTTCCAGTATTTTCTGTTGGTCATGGGAGTTCTGTGTGCCAAGTTTGGTTCATTTCCCTGAACGGTTTGGGACCATCCTACCTGCGTGACCGCATCTCCGTTTACGAACCCACGCGTTCACTTCGTTCATCCAGAGAGGCCCTGCTCGTGATTCCGCCTGCGTCGCAAGCGCATTTGGTGGGGACACGAGACAGGGCCTTTTCCATGGTGGCCTCCCGACTCTGGAACACCCTCCCCAAAGATCTTAGACAGGCCCCTACATTGGCAGTCTTTAGAAAGAACTTGAAGACCTGGCTGTTCCGATGTGCCTTTCCAGAATAGGAAACTCCAATAACAAGTCCCAGAAGCACTTTATTAGAACTAAGATTGCCACACACTACACACTGCACTTACCCTATAATCCTTATATACCACCTGTCACATCAGCACTTTTAATTCTGTACTCATTACTCTGGCCCGGCCCAGTTTTATTGTGTCTTGGTGCATTGTTTATTGTTTGTTATTTAATATTGCTTTAATTGTTTTTAATTTGCTTTAGGTTTTGTATTGTTATGTTGTGTATTGAGGCCTTGGCCTTTGTAAGCCGCATCGAGTCCTTCGGGAGATGCTAGCAGGGTACAAATAAAGTTTTTAAAAAATCATTGGTGAGGTTCAGAATGCTCTTTGATTGTAGGTGAACTATAAATCCCAGCAACTACAACTCCCAAATGACAAAATCAATTTTTTTTGAGTGAAGGACATACATTGGATTGCTAGGTGTCTTGTGTCCAAATTTAGTGTCAATACGTCCAGTTGTTTTTTGGGTTCTGTTAATCCCACAAATGAACATTACATTTTTATTTATATAGACTAGCTGTACCCGGCCACACGTTGCTGTGGCCCATTGGGGAGAAATGGGAAAGAAAGAAAAGAGGAGGAGCTGGCTTCTAAGCTATCAATACACAATCAACATTACATTTTTATTTATATAGATCAGGGGTCCCCAAACTAAGGCCTGGGGGCCGGATACAGCCCTCCAAGGTCATTTACCCGGCCCTCGCTCAGAGTCAACCTAAGTCTGAAACGACTTGAAAGCACACAACAACAACAACAACAACAAAAATCCTATCTCATCAGCCAAAAGCAGGCCCATACTTCTCATTGAAATACTAATAAGTTTATATTTGTTAAAATTGTTCTTCATTTTAATTTTTGTATTGTTTTAAAGTGTCTTTTTGCGCTACATAAAACATGGAAAAAGTTTAATAAACTGCAAAAACTTTGTTTTTTTGCGGGACATTCTGCATCACATTTTGCTATAATTTTTCACTGAATATTTCATAGAATGTCAACCAATTCAACATAGTTTGTTGCCAAAGACAAAGTTTTTGGAGTATGATAACTACATTCAAAATAAGTACTGCACAATTAAACAGGAAGTAACACTTTCAAACAAGGAACAGATTTCCCCCCAAATTTTGTTACATAGTAACCATTAAGCCCTTATCTAGAATGCCAAAATACTGTATTCTTGAAATCCACCTTTATTTTTAGAAGGCTCAGTGTACACAAACTTTGATGAGATTAGGCAAGCTCCTACCTTAGCAGCCTTCAAGAAAGATCTCAAAACTTGTCTTTTCCTTTGCGCTTTCAGAGAGTGACCATGTACCTCTTTTTGTGATTTCTCCCACAATGTTGTCCTCTTACTGTATTTCCCTCCGCCTGTGTGAAAGCCTGTCTTCACTATTCCGTCTCCTACAAGTTTATCCCTTACAAACATTTCTTTTTCATTTTCTCATCCAGAGTTTTATCATTTTATGTTGTACACGTGGCCCACTCATTGTGCTGGATTTCTCATTGCATTGTTTTGTTTTGTTTTATTTTGCTTTGTTTTATTGTATTTCTAAGTTGTTTTGGTTTTATTTTGTTTTTTTTGCTGGAATGTATTTCTCATGTAAGACGCCCCGAGTCCTCTTCGGAGAGATGGTGGCGGGGTATAAATAAAGATTATTATTATTATTATTATTATTATTATTTCATGCCCAAATTATTAAAATATTCAGTTCTTGTGGGTTTTTTCGGGCTATATGGCCATGTTCTAGAGGCGTTTCTCCTGACGTTTCGCCTGCATCTATGGCAAGCTTCCTCAGAGGTCTCTGAGGAAGCTTGCCATAGATGACCTCTGAGGAAGCTTGCCATAGATGCAGGCGAAACGTCAGGAGAAATGCCTCTAGAACATGGCCATATAGCCCGAAAAAACCCACAAGAACTGAGTGATTCCGGCCATGAAAGCCTTCGACAATATATTAAAATATTATTTATTAAAGTACTTTTAGACTATATAAACAAGGTACCTTTGAAGCATGAATTTTGTTTAGACTTGGCTTCTTATTGCATGAGAGTTCATATATGTATGAGCAAAATAAATAAATCTGAAATGCTTCTGGTCCCTTGTGTTTCTGATGTGGAATCCAAAATCTGTTGTTTTGTTTAGCAAATTAGAATCTATTAAATTTCCTTTTTCAGAAAAATCCTGTCCTCAATTATCCTAGCACTTCACATCATGAGAATAATTATGTTTTGCAAAATGAAGGCCCACCCTTCTTGTGGCTCATTGCTCTCATCATTGGATTTCCTATGCAGGGATTCGTAACAGACCCACCCACTCCTTAACTTTTGAAAGTGGTTTTCCAAAGGAGTAATAACAGATAACAAATTTGATGTTACTATTCTTTGGGGAAAACTGGACAGAAAGAGTGTGGCCCTGCAGGTCCCCCTAGATGTCTCAGCGACCATGGTATCCTTCTGGAGCGACTGACGGGGATGGGACTAGAAGGCACTGTGCTGTAGTAGATTCGGTCTTTCCTTATGGGCTGTCCCCAGAAGGTGGTGTTGGGGGAGTCCTGCTAAAATCACTTCTTAGCATATTGAGATGCATTTTCTATATCCAGGACTTCTAGAGTTTGGGACAACTTGAAAGAATAGGTTTTTTTTTCACTAGAGTATGTAAAGACGATGAACTAAAGACAGCAATGTTATACAATGTTTACTGCTCAAAACTTCTGTGTGGATGTGACAATATAATAATTATACAATGTATATTTTCCCAGAATGCAGAAAATGATTAAAACAAAGAGTAACCAAGGAAAAAACAGTGGTATGGAGAGAGAATTTGTGTATACGTTCAGCTCTGGAAATCAACATTTTGTGCTTAAAGTTCCACTGAAATTCCCAGTGCAAGAAAATGTTAGCCATTTGCTTGGCCGTCTAATGCTTCTTCACAACTTGCCTTGCTTCATAGAAAATGGTAAGAATTTCTTATATGAGTAGCTTGACTCGGTTTATTCTGAAGTAGACATCCAGCATTGTAAAAATGGGGCAGGGGTCATTAATCTGAAATATTAGGCTAATCTGACATCTATATTTTGATGCCTCAGAGTGCATGATTACACTTTTTAAAATATTCTTTATAGGCAGAAGGGCTAAATTAAATATATTTTTCAAATTGAGAAATATTATGGCAACATACTTCATAGTCACCGACAGGAGGAGTGAGTCCCTGCTGGTGCTAAGCAGCATTTGATATCACCAACCATGGTATGTTTCTTGAATATGGGATTATAGGGAGATTGGGAATCAGAGACACTGTATTGAAGTGGTTTCGGTCATATCTTTCAGGTAGTTTCCAGATGGTGACGCTGCTCCTCAAACATGGAGCTTTATGTTTTGATCAGCTGTGGCTGATATGCCAGCTGTGCTAAACAAGCTATCTGAATTTAAAACATAATTAAAAACCTATCTCTTCTGGCAGCCTAGGTAGTCAATTTTAAACTGTGAACTCAAACGGGCATTTTTACTGATATGAATGATTTTAATATGTTTTACCCTTATGTCTATGGTAATGTAAGTGTTTTAATAGTTTTCTGTTTCATCTTATTGTTATTGTTATTATTACAGTAGACTGTCCATAAACTGGCACCCACGGTGAATGGTAGACGAGGGATATACCTCCTACTGTACCATACCATAAACTCTCTATCAACTTGAGATTAATATTGAAATATAGTAATTAAAAGCAAATTAAGAAAAAGACAAAGTTTACTTAATGTCACTCAGTTCTATTGTTTTACTGTATTACAAAAACAGCTTTTTGTTTTAAATTATTTCTTCAATTTTTTGCCAGTTTCTTGAGTGTTCTGGTTGCTTGAGTTTCGTGTAACTGAGAGTCTACTGTATACAATTATAAAAGTCTGGAAAAAAGCTTAATTCTTAGATACTCTCAAAAGTTGAACAATTTTGTGGATTAATAGGGTTTAAGGAAACTCTGGTTAATTAGAAAGTGCTCCTGATAATAAATTAAAACATGATTTGCAGTCATTATAAAGGGCAAGTATAATATGAATTTCAACTAATGTATGGTTTCCCTCCTTGATGTGACAGATTTAAAGGAATCTCTTAGTAGATTAATTGAGGAGAAATCAATACAAGATTATGATACAGAAGCAGAAGTAGCCCTAGAAGCAGTAAAATCTGGTGAAGTAGATTTGAACCAGCTAGCAAATACTTGGGCCAAAACTTACACAGAGGTAAGAGCTGTTTTAATACTAATTTTAGAAGATTCACTTGAAAATAAGACTCTAGCTTTTTTCAGACTTTGCTCCTTTGTGAGCATATTACTTTGGTAACAGAGATCTATGAAATGGAAATGAAGACATCCCTTGTGGTTTCCTCCTAGAGCTGAAACATTCCCAGTTTCCTAAGCCTCTTTGTGGAAGATTATTGTCAATAAGATGCATAAGCCTCATAACTGTTATTTTTCAGGCAGTATTGGAATATACAAGACCTGAAGACTCAAGTTGGGACGAAGATTTTGCAGATGTCTATCATGATCTAATCCACTCTCCTGCTTCTGAAACTCTTTTAAACCTGGAACACAACTATTTTGTTAGCATCTCAGAATTAATAAGTGAAAGAGATGTGGAACTCAGAAAACTACGAGAAAGGTATTTTTATCTGTTTATGTGTATTTTATTCAGGTTTTTTTGTGTCAGGAGTGACTTGAGAAACTGCAAGTTGCTTCTGGTGTGACAGAATTGTCCATCTGCAAGGACATTGTCCAGAGGACGCCCGGATGTTTTGCCATCCTGTGGGAGGCTTCTCTCATGTTTCCGCATGAGAAGCTGGAACTGACAGTTGGGAGCTCACTCCGCTCCCCTGATTCGAATCGCCAACTTTTTGGTCAGCAGTCCTGCCGGCACAAGGGTTTAACCCATTTGGATTAACATTTTCAGTTAATCCAAAATTATTTTAAAGAGAAAAAATAAAAATTGGTGGTTATTTCCTTTTTAAAATAATTATAAATAAATAACTTCTACATTTAAAACTGCCTGCAACAGATGAACAGCATGCCTGTCAAATAGAATATCATCATCATCATCATCATCATCATCATCATCATCATCATCATCTTTAATTATTTATTAATCGCCCTCCATTCGAGATGCTCCAGGCGATTTACATAGCAGAAATTATACAGGATAAAACACATACATACAAATATTAAAATTAACATGGGTCAAATGCTCTAGTAAAACGCCAGGTCTTAAGTGCTAGGATAAAATGCCCTGAGTCACGCATGGCTCTCAAATAGGGAGGCAAGGAATTCCATAAGGCAGGGGCAGAAATAGAGAAGGCCCTGTGTCTGGTGCTTTCCAAGTGCACTTCCCTAGGACCCGGCATATAGAGCAAATCGTGTTGGGATGGTCGTGGTGACCTCCGATGATGGTAGAAGGAGAGACGGTCTCTAAGATACAATGGACCCTGGCCATATAAAGTATATATAATATATAGGACCATTAAAAAGTGATTTTTTTTCCAAATGAGATTGTGCTGTAGATATTTTGATACATAGAGCTTGTTCTATGTTTTAAGATCCTATTTACTAGTAAGATAGTATCTAGTCTTGAAGTTTTACTAAATGACAGTTATATCTGGAACTTACTGCTGACTAAATGACAAATAATTTATTCTAGGCAAGGAGCTGAAATGGATAAGGTGATGCAAGAATTGGGAAAAACATTATCAGATCATGATGTAAACATGTTGGCAGCTCAGCACTTTGAATCCCAGCAGGTAAGCGATATTACAAGTTACATTGGAATAAATTGGAATCACTCACTGGTAAACATTAATTTGCTGAGTTGGTATCCCTTTTTAGGTGTTGGAAAACAAATGGAATAACGAATTAAAACAAACCACAGGTATCCAGAAACAGGAGTATCAGGAATGGGTGATAAAACTTCATGAGGACCTAAAAAATCCTAACATTACAATTGGGTACGCATCTTTCTTTTTGGTTTATTTATGCAACTGTTCAAACAACCAGGTTGAAAAACTTGGCTAAAGATAAAATTTTCTCAGGCACTGACCTATGTTGTGCTAATTAGTTAGTTCTATCTCCAGGAGAAGGCATTCAAAAGGAACTTAAACTATGAGAAAGTCAAGCATAGTCAGACACACTGAGGACTTGGATGATGTCTTTCTGGAACAGAGGGTCACATACTCAGAAAGGAGAGATGTGTAGTAATGGGAAATGTTAACTATCTTTATATTTGTTTGAAGAAAAACTATGCCAAGAAAATCAGGTCCAACAAATTCCTCACTTGCCTTGCAGACAATTTCATTGTCCAAAAGGTGGAAGAGGCAACAAGGAGATCAGCTATTTTAGATCTCATCCTAACAGTGACAACTGGTAAATGGGGTTGAAATGGCAGGTTTCTTAGGTAGAAATGACTAAGTTCTTCTCGAATTTGTTGTACAGCTGTGAATCCCCCATCCCATCTCCTCTGGGTGAGGTTCCAGCTTGCCTTTTCTCTACCGCCCCTATTTAGACTGTTGCATGAGGAATCAGCTTGATTTTGTAGCCATGTTTGGGATTGAAAATCAATTATACATACTTTCTTTCTTGCTCTCTCTCTCTCTTGTATGCATGCACATAAGTGTGTTTCTGCACAGAGTGGAGTCATTGAGGTGGAAGAAAGGAAAATAGACACAAGTAAATAGTACACAGGATAGTAGTAGAGCACCCAGTACTTTGAGAGTTGCTTTGTGACTTTGTAACCCGTGTAGCTGTTTTGTTACTATACCCATAGCAATTTTTAAAATTACTAATGCACCTACGAGGCCTAAAGAATTGAAAATACTGAAATTTGAAACTCAGCTATACAGAAAAATATGTGTTCTTATCAATTTGGGGAGCCCCCTGTGGCACAGCGGGTTAAACGCTTGAGCTGCTGAACTTGCTGATTGAAAGGTCGGCAGTTTGATTACGTGGGACAGGGTGAGTTCCTGCTGTTAGCCCCAGCTTCTGCCAACCTAGCAGTTCGAAAACATGCAAATGTGAGTATGTCAATAGGTACCCCTCTGGCAAGAAGGTAGCAGTGCTCCATGCAGTCATGCCGGCCACATGACCTTGGAGGTGTCTATGGACAAAGCTGGCTCTTCGGCTTAGAAATAGAGATGAGCACCACTCCCCAGAGTAGGACACAACTAGACTTAATGTCAAGGGGAAACCTTTACCTTTACTTATCAATTTAACATTAATGTCTGGGGACATCCTTGTCTTTATTTATTTATTTATTTATTTATTTATTTATTTATTTATTTGGTGTCAGTGAGGAAATAAATGTTCAACCTAATCAATGGAGGGAAGCTATAGAAGGAAATGGAGGGCTTTTTGAAGACCAGAGACAGTTGGAAGAAAGTTTCACTATTCATTTGGGTGAGTAAAATGTTTCAAATTTACCTAGAACATTATAATTTCTAGTCTAAGTCTAACATTATAGTCTAAGGCCCCATCTACACTGTCATATACAATCACCTACAGACCCACCCTGGAGTATTATCCTACTTAGACAACAAGGGATCGCCTAAGTAAAAAAAAACAAAACAATCCAGATTATATGCTTTGAACTGGATTATTTGGCAGCGTAGACTCATAAAATCCAGTTCAAAGCAGATAATGTGGACTATCTGATTTGATAATCTAGATTATATGACAGTGTAGAGATGATTACTGATTTGTGTGCTTTGGTGTAGATTTTGTCCCAGCAGAAAAAAAAACAAAAACAAAGTAACAAAACACATATATACTTAAGTCCCCCAAGTGATCTTTCAGATGTTTTCAGCTTCTTTTGGTTCTTCTCTGTTCTTCTTACCCTGCCTAGGAGCACAACTAAAAACTATGCATAACCTGAGATTACTGAGGGCAGATATGTTGGACTTCTGTAAACACAAACGCAATCATCGCAGTGGAGTCAAACTTCACAGGCTTCAGACTGCATTGTCTCTTTATTCCACTTCTCTTTGCGGCTTGGTCTTGTTAGTGGACAATCGCATCAGCTCGTACAGTGGGATCAAAAGGGGTAAGCGATATTCTTTGAAACTGATGTACTTTTGTTGAGTTGGATGTAAAATTATAACAACAAGATGTTTCCAGCATCTTTTGGTCCTCCTCAGACTCTTTTAGATATTTTTAATAATTAGAAAAAATACTGATGGAACACTCTTGCAATTCAGTTAAGCTTTGAATACTACAAGTAAAGGTCTGCACACTTTCTATCCTCATGTTGCTATCTGATGAGTATATAATACTTGCAAGCATACAAGAGCTTTCCTATTCATTCTTGAGCTGGGTATAAATTTGAATGGTGAAGTGCATTGACCTGAATCAGTGCTGAAGTGAAAGAGACATGTTTTCTGTGTTTCAAACACTACTTTTAGGGTCTTCATTGTCAAACAAGGAGGCAAGCAGAGTCAGAAATTTAAAGATGTATAATACTAAATTAAAGATGTATAATACTAAATTATATACAAAGGCATCTTATAGTATCTTAGAGACTGAGAGACGTTTGTAGCATGAGTCTCTTTTTTTTAGATGATGATATTATAGTTTATAGAGCCCCTGGTGGCGCAGGGGTTCAACCCCTGTGCCGGCAGGACTGAAGACCGACAGGTTGCAGGTTGGAATCTGGGAGGGGGGGGGGTGATGAGTTTCCTCTATCATCTCCAGCTCCTCATACGGGGACATGAGAGAAGCCTCCCACAGGGATGATGAAAACATCAAATCATCCGGGCATCCCCTGGGAAACGTCCTTGCAGACGGCCAATTCTCTCACACCAGAAGTGACTTACAGTTTCTCAAGTTGCTCCTGACATGACAAAAAAAATAGTCCACTTGAAATAACATTAAGTTACAAGGAGGGGCATATCCTACAATTAGTTGCTCCTTCCACTTGTTGCATTAAACAGAAATATATAAATTCGGGTATGTGAATGCTCCCTGGTAGAAGATGACTACACAGTCATATAACCCAGAATATCAAGGCAGAAAATCCCACAGTATCTGCTTTGAACTGGGTTATCGGAGTCCACACTGCCACATATTACTTTCTGCCTCGCTCCAAGGCAGACTACCAGTAAAATTGAACTTTTGTATTATCTGTGTGAAATAAATTACCATGCTACTGCAATACTAGATTTCCAGTCAGACGAGGCCAGCATAGAGTTATGTAATAATTACATTCTGCTATTAACTTTTTATTATATAGAGCAACTGTGCAAAATGACTGTATAACCAAGCCATTTTGCTGGCCTAGATCCCGATTTTTGAGAGATGACCTTTAGCCATTGGGACAGGCCATGCACAAACTAAAAGAGTTGGGAAATGTGTAAATTTTGAAAAGGATGTATGTGTTGGCTGTAGGAGTCAAAAGTATTTACTGCTTCATCGGAAGCAGCTGTGGAAGCTGGACTGCCGTGTGTACTTTGGGATCAGATCAACAAAATCAGTAGAGTAGGATGCCTGCCAGAGAGAAGTCAAGGGCATCTGTTTATTTTGAACGTGTTGAATGTCAACTGAAAAACAATTTTGTAATACTGGAGGATTTTATTATATATCTAGCCTGAGTTTCTTCATGCATATTTCACCCTCATGTGGTATTCACTTTAACTTTCTTGGGTTGATCTGAGATTTCCAGGTTATATGGCCATGTTCCAGAAGCATTCTCCTTACGTTTTGCCCACATCTATGGCAGGCATCCTCAGAAGTTGTGAGGTCTGTTGGAAACTAGGCAGGTTTATTTATTTATTTATTTACTGTATTTGCATACCACCTTTCTCAGCCTGTAGGTGACTCAAGGCAGTTAACAGGACAAAATTCAGTGCTTACAATGTCATAAATACAATTAAAAACATGACATATAATAAAAACTAAACAAATCAATAAAATATAAATGCATAGTGTCTCCTTGTTAAAAACATTGGAACATAGTTGTTCCATTTTCCTTTGTCAGTTACTCTGCATTTGCAAAAGCTTGTTCAAAAAGCCACGTCTAGACTTTTTTCCGGAATGTTAAAAGGGAGGTGGCCGATCTAATAACTATAGGGAGGGCGTTCCACAGCCAGGTGCCACCACGGAGAAGGCCCTGTCTCCCTGTCTCCTATTAATTTGCACAGGAAATATACTACCTAATCTTCTCGTTCAACTTTCTTAACTTTGTTCGTCTAATTTTGATTTAGCTGTTTAGAAAAAAATAAGTGGAAAAGGTTAGCTTAGAATCCCTTTTCCTAACAACTATTTCTATGTAAAGAGGGTGTTTTTGCATAAAGGGGTTTTCAATCATGTGGATATCTGCCTCAGTCTGAGGTATTAAAAGCAGGGCACAAGTTCAATAACTCCTGGTGAATAAGGTCATTATTTGTTTCAGATTTTGCAACAGTATCCCAGGAATGCACCGATTTCCACTTTCCTGGGATTCAGGAGCAGCTTGAAGTTGTTCAACAGGTTGTACTTTATGCTCGAGTACAGCACAGCAGTAAATCCAAAAGGCTAAATGGTTAGTAACAATTAGATTTGCTTATTTGTTATGTTGCATTATAGGACAAGCCCCAGCATCCACCTAGAAATGGGATAAATGCAGATTACAGATTTGAAAGAAATACAATGTAGCTAAAACTGTACAGATTGACATGAAAATATAACTGTTTATATAACAGTGAAACAATGTTCAGCATCAATTAAAATTTCCAAACACAATTAAATTTCAGTTCAGTTTTAAATGCACTCCCGGAAACATAGGATGATGATGATGATGATGATGATGATGATGATGATGATGATGATGATAACTTTATTTGTACCCTGCCACCATCTCCCATAGGAACTTGGGGTGGCTCACAAAGCACACAATGGTGCCATACAACATAAAATACAATATATCAACATTAAAACCAGTAACAAATTTAAAACCAGACATATAAAGGTAACAAGAGCAATAAAATCAATAAAATATGGAAATAGTCGTTAACTTAAAAACTGGATAAAGTAAAATATAGTTCTTCTAATTAAGGGGTTTGTAATCTTTGCAACTCAATCTGATTTTCAATTGATCACAGAATCAGAAATTATCCAAAAGGCCATCTAGAACAGCTCCCGCCAAAGCAGGAATCTACCACTAAAGTTTGAGAGGAGATCATCTCACCTCTATTTACAAACCCCCAGTGAAAACATGCATATCACCTTCCAAGGTAGAATGTACCACTCTTGAACAGCTCTTACTATCAGGAAATTCTTCTTACTGTTTAGTCTACTTTATGCACTGAGAACTATTTGTGATTGCCGTTTTTGGCTGAGAATTCTGTTTTTGTTGATTTTGTATGTGAATTCTGCTTTTTGTTGTTTTTAAGTATGAGATATTCTAGAACAGAGAAGGAAAAGGCTACAGCTACAGAAGTGAGGCATAGGCTTGGTTTGTGCAGAGCTACTAGGTAGTCACCTTGTCTCTCTCCTGAGGAATCTGTATAAGGACCAAGTAACAACAGTAAGAACTGACCATGGAACAACAGACTGGTTCAAGATTGGGAAAGGTGTATGGCAGGGTTGTATACTCTCCCCCAACCTATTCAACTTGTATGCAGAACACATCATGCGATGTGCGGGGCTTGAGGAATGCAAGGCTGGGGTGAAAATTGCTGGAAGAAACATTAACAACCTTAGATATGCAGATGACACCACTTTGATGGCCGAAAGTGAGGAAGAGCTGAGGAGCCTTCTAATCAAGGTAAAAGAAGAAAGCGCAAAAGCTGCGTTGCAGCTAAACATAAAAAAACCCCAACAAGAATGGCAACAAGAATGATTGACAACTGGGAAATAGAGGGAGAAAACGTAGAGGCCGTGACAGACTTGGTATTTTTAGGTGCAAAGATTACTGCAGACGCAGACTGCAGCCAGGAAATCAGGAGATGCTTACTTCTTGGGAGGAGAGCAATGACCAATCTTTATAAAATAGTGAAGAGTAGAGACATCACACTGGCAACAAAGATCCGCATAGTCAAAGCAATGGTATTCCCCGTAGTCACCTATGGATGTGAGAGCTGGATCATAGGGAAGGCTGAGCGAAGGATGATAGATGCTTTTGAACTGTGGTGCTGGAGGAAAGTGCTGAGAGTGCCTTGGACCATGAGAAGATCCAACCAGTCCATACTTCAAGAAATAAAGCCTGACTGCTCATTGGAGGGAAGAATAGTAGAGGCCAAGATGAAGTACTTTGGCCACATCATGAGAAGAAAGGAAAGCTTAGAGAAGACAATTATGCTGGGGAAAATGGAAGGAAAAAGGAAGAGGGGTCGACCAAGGGCAAGATGGATGGATGGTATCCTTGAAGTGACTGGATTGACCTTGAAGGAGCTGGGGATGGTGACGACCGACAGGGAGCTCTGGCGTGGGCTGGTCCATGAAGTCGCGAAGAGTCGGAAATGACTGAACGAATGAACAACAAACAACAACTAGCTACTACCTGTTGGTGGGGATCCTTTGCTATCTTAAGGCCTGCTAATATTCCTTACAATTTCCCTGCAATATTGTGGGTGGGAGCTTAAGAACGGGATCTAAGAGACATGGATAGCAAGAACGCTGCTCCCATGTCTTGGAAGGCTGTACCTGGAACAAGTACAAGTTGATTGTCCTGCTGGAAGTGAACGATTTGAGGCTCATTTAGACTCATCAAGGAAGATGAAGAGAGTGGATGCTGCTAATGCGGCTTTATCCAAAAGCCCTTAATCATCCTTGATTAAGCTTTCACTCCAACCACTCTGCTCACTTCTTTTTTAGCAATCATCCCAGTGTTTAGGACTTGTGCCCAGCAGACTCTAAAATAATAACAGCAGAATACACACATCAAAACAAGTAGAAACAGAATTAGCACTGCAGTGATCTCTGGGAGCCTGTATAATGGAGATGCATCCAGTGGTGTATGATATCCTAACAATGTGTATTGATTTGTTTTCCCTACAGATATGGGAAACAAAAATGGTAGCAGTGAGGATAAATCAAAGAATATGGAGCAAAACTTATCAAATATTTTGCCTGGTAGGTTTCATGCATTCTTTTCAGTTAGATATGTCCCTTGTTTGCATTCAAATAATAATCTATCGTAAAATGGCATTTACTTGTTTGTGAGAAGGACAGTTTTTTTCTTTTGACCACCAGTAATACTTTATGAAACAGCATGCTAGATATGCTGGTCTGTAAGATCTCATAATATTATTTGTTATTTTTGCTGTGATATATTAAATAATATCCAGATGTCCTGGATATTATTTTAGTGAATGGGACTAGATTTAGTGATGTAGAGTGGAAAACATTTAATTGCAAATAGCATGCATGATTGTGACCACAAAAGATTATTGTATAATAGATTTTTTTAAAAAAGAGGATACATTTTTGTGATTTGGAATCCCTTTTATTCTGCACCATTAAGTTGCTCCTTATTTTAGATTTCTGCTTTGAAGATCAAAGCCAGATCTCATAATATGTTAGAGAGCACATTGGGTTAAATTTTGTCTTGGTAAGCAGTTGAATAAAATGAGCACAATAATATTAAGACTTAAAATTTCATGTGAGATTTACCTTCCACTAAGAAAGAAGGCAATGCCATGTGGAGAAATTAGACTGGGGTCAGTACTTCTTGTAGGTTCATCCAGGACGGATTAATCTCTTACCTTTCACCACTGTACTCAGATAAGTTGATCTGAGATTTTTGGATTGATATTTTATTAAAATGTTTAGACTTGTACATGAGAATATAGGACTTGACTTCCTTCTTAATTCTAATTTTGGTTTGAAAATTATTTTTATAAATTGTGTAGAGGTTGCGGGAAAAGAATTGGTTGAGGATTTTAGACATAATATAGACTTCAGATGTGTTTGGTATTCTTATTGGAGTCTGCAAATTGTCTAATACAATGTGATTCCTTCAGGAGAATTTTACATCACCCGTCATTCGAATCTCTCTGAAATTCATGTAACTTTTCACCTCTGTGTGGATGATAATGTGAGATCGGGCAATATTACTGCCAGAGATCCTGCAATCATGGGCCTCCGGAATATCCTCAAAGTGTGTTGCACTCATGACATTACTACCATTAGTATTCCTCTTTTGCTGGTACATGACATGTCCGAGGTAAGCAATTGGTCACCAATTGTCTTTTCTCTTCAAATGTGGATATTGCTAAGACTTTTACTATGTTTTTAACAATGGAAACCTAGGCTGACTTCCACCATTCCCACTTCCTAAAAACTAGTTGTCTCCTCCCCCGCCTCCCCAATGCCCACTGTGTATGAGTTTTTGAAAAGTGTGATTTTGGAGGCACAATTTCAAACAGTTCCAATGAGGAGCATCTAAAGAAACCAGAATGGATGTCTAAGGAATTTTCAGTTGAGCTAAGATTTCAAAGGGACGTGTTTGAGAAGGTGAGAAATCACTAAACAGGAATTCAAATGAATAGTCAGTATGTGTAGGAAGAAAGTTAGAAAAGCCAAAGCGCACAATGAGCTCAAGCTTATCAATAAAAATAAAAACAATTAAAAATGCTTCTTTTTATTTTGTCCATATCAAAAGGAAGAACAAGGAAATGGTAGGGCCGCTGCATTCATGTGGTGGTAAAATGTTAACAGAGGACAGAGAAAAGGCAGAACTGCTTATCACCTTCTTTACCTCAGTCTTCTCCCAAAAGGTTAATAGAGTTCAACTTGGGGATAATGGAGAAGAAGTTGCAGAAGGTGAAAGGTAGCACAGAATAGACAAAGGGGCAGTACAGGAACATATGGTTAATTTAAATCAATGGTTCACAGCCTGTGGGGCTGCGAGACCTAAAATAAGGTCCATGGCTCTAGATCAGTGTTTCTCAATCTTCCTAATGCCATGACCCCTTAGTACAGTTCCTCATGTTGTGGTGACCCCCAACCAGAAGATTATTTTTGTTGCTACTTCACAACTGTAATTGTGCTCCTGTTATGAATCGTAATGTAAACATCCCTTATGCAGGATGTATTTGCATTCACTGGACCAAATTTGGCAAAAATACCCAATAATACAACAAAATTTGAATACTAGTGGAGTTGTGGAGATGATTGATTTTGTCATTTGGGAGTTGTAGTTGCTGGGATTTATAGTTCACCTACAATCAAAGAGCATTCTGAACTCCACCAACGATGGAATTGAATCAAATTTGGCACACAGAACTCCCATGACCAACAGAAAATACTGGAAGGGTTTGGTGGGCATTGACTTTGAGTTTTGGGAGCTGTAGCTCAGCTACATCCAGAGAGCACTGGGGACTCAAACAATGATGGATCTGGACCAAACTTGGCACGAATTCTCAATATGCCCAAATGTAAACACTGGTGGAGTTTGGGAGAAATAGACCTTGACATTTGGGAGTTATGGTTGCTGGGATTTATAGTTCACCTACAATCAAAGAGCATTCTGAACCCTACCAACGATTGAATTGGGCCAAACTGCCCACACAGAACCTCCATGACCAACAGAAAATACTGTGTTTTCTGGTGATTTTTGGTGACCCCTCTGACACCCCCTCAAGACCTCTCCAGGGGTCCTGACCTCCAGGTTGAGAAACACTGCTTTAGTTGATTAAATATGGTTTCTGTGGGTAAGCAGATGGCAACTACTGGAAGGCATATGTTCTGTATCAGAAACTAGAGCTGATGTGGTTTATCCAATGCAACTTTCTGTAAATAACCAAACTGAATCTAAAGTTGAACAAAAACTGATTTGTAACCCTTTTGGTATTTATATTGGAGACTGGTCCCTGGTCAAAGCGGTCCCTGGTCCAAGTGGTCCTTGGTCAAAAAAAGGTTGGGAACCACTGATTTAAAAGAATCCAAGTTTTCAGGGCCAGATGAATTACACCCAAGGATATTAAAAGAACTGGCAGAAATAATTTCAGAACCAATTGCAATAATTTTTGCGAACTCCTGAAGAATGGGAAAAGTTCCAGAAGACTGGAAAAGAGCAAATGTTGATCCCCATCTTCAAAAAGGGGGGGGGGGGGGGGGGGGGGAGAGGAGGACCTGCCTATTCAGTCTAACATCAAACCCATGACAGATTCTCAAACAGTTCATTAAAGAGACAATCTGTAAGCACTTAGAAAGGAACGCCATGCTCACAAAAAGTCAGCACAGGTTTCTCAAAACAAAGTCATGTCCAGAGAAGGGCAACCAACATAATCAATAGTTTGAAAGTCTACCCCTATGGGGAGTGGCTGAAGGAGCTGGGTGTGTTTAGTTTAGGGAAAAGAAGACTGAGAGGGAACATGATAGCTATGTTCAAATACTTGAAAGGTTGTCATAAGGAAGAGGTTGTCATAAGGGGACCAGGACATGGAACAGTAGAAAGGAGATTCTACTTAAACAATAGGAAAAACTTCTAGATGGTCAGAGCTGTTTGGCAGTGGAATATTGTGCCTTGAAATCTGATGGAGGTTCCTTCTCTGGAGGTTTTTAAGCAAAGGCTAGATAGCCATCTGTCAGGAGTGCTTGGAATTTATTTCCATGCACAGCAGGGGGTTGGACTGTATGTCCCTTGTGATCTCCTCCAACGGTATGATTCCTCCTCTGCATTTCCACAGTGTTTGGATTTGCAACAAATACAACTATGAAAATATAAGCAAAAGGAAGAATTGTAACAAGCGCCTCTTCTTTCAACTGCAAAAAGTCTAGAAAAAACAAAGGTTGCTTCAGCTTCTAGTCCCTTTGGACACCAATGCAAACTTGCAGGATTATTGTTCTTGTACTCCTCCTCTTTTTCTCTTCAGTGTTATGAATGAAGTGTTGTTCACGTTAAAAATTTCCTGGTTAGCAAAGTAAAATTAAAATTAACAGTTGGTTGTCAATGTTTCTCTTGATTTTTGTGGTTCACAAGGTTGAAAAAAAATAGATATTATTATTATTATTATTTACTTTTATTTGTTTGTTTGCTGCTTTTCTCAGCCGTCAGGTGACTCAGGGCAGTTTACAGAGGCAACAGTCCAATGCCCAATAGACCATAAAACATTTAAAAGCATGAATGCGTAATATAAAACCATAACAATAGTATTAAAAACATACATCAAATACGTATACTAATAAAAACATCCAATCTCGTCATCCAGTGGTTCCAATCCCTATGTCATTTACCTTGCATTTTCAAACGCTTATTCAAACAACCAAGTCTTTCCGAAATGTTAAGAGGGAGGAGGCCGATCTAATGGTCCCAGGAAGGGCGGTCCATAGCAAAGGAGCCACCACTGAGAAGGCCCTGTCTCACGTCCCCACCAACTGTGTTTGTGACGCAGGTGGGATCGAGAGCAGGGCCTCCCCGGACGATCTTAAAGTCCTAGCAGGTTCATAAGGGATGATAAGGGATGATCATAAGGTTCATAAGGGATGATCCCGCTTTACTCCCATAAATGGGACTCAAAGTGGCGAACGAAATAGAAAAAAACAAACTACATAATACAGATAAACATCCTCCCCCCAACTTGACATATAAAAAAAGCAATCCACAAATTGCATACATATAAAAAGCATAAAACTAAACCACAAAATTATTATAATTAAAATCCCTGTGCCTCAGGTTGCCCTAAAACATTAAACTAAGAGTCTCAGAGCTCCAAGCCCTTGGCCATATGATCCTTGGTTGACCGAGATAAGCTGCTATCATGGGTTGTCGAGGAAGGCCTGCTTTCATAAAAAGGAAACGAAAAGCCAGTAGCGAAGGGGCCGAATGCATCTCTTTATAATGGGAGAGTAAAACAAACATGCTTCTGGCTGTTGCTGCCATTTTCTACCAGCTATAACAATAATTTATCAATTTCCTAAAATTGAAAGATTCTGTGGTCCTGAGAAGAGATTACCTTTATGACACTATCTGTGTGCTGCCTTTCATTGTTCAAAATGCTGTTTTTCATTTTCACATACATAAAATGATATGCATACAGCTTCTCACCCAAAATGGTCATCCTCCAAGCATTACTTCCTGTTTTTTCCCTCCAGAATGTCTTTTTATGACATCAGCTCTTACCTCACTGACACCAGATGTGTTGCTAATTTGTCTTTCAAACAACAAGAGCTTCCTTTTTAGAGCCCGGTTGTCATTTTTGCCAAGGCACAGATTACCAGTACACACCCACCTTGCATGTGAGCAAGAGTGTGCGTGGGCAGATAAATTACAATGGAGATCTAGTATTTCTTCCGCTAAGGCTGTGGAAAAACCCTATATCTGTACTTTGTTGCCCAACAGTGTTGTTTCTGATTCATATATTGCATAACCAGGAGAATAGCAAAACAGACACTAAGGATTTGCATCACGACAACCTTGATTTTAAATGTTTCCAGCTTAAAATTTCTGGTTTCAACTTTCAGCTTTACTGAATCTACATAAAAGAATTTGAGTTACTGCTATCATCTTGGTATCATACTATGGGATAATGTTGGCTATTAAATGGTTCAAATTTAAATAAACTGGCATTTGTTTTTATCAAATACGTATCTTGCCTTGATGCTGTCAATGCACATAGTGGATAGTAGAATAGCATTTTAAATGAAGTAATTCTCAAAGCCCAATGTAATATCAAACAAAATAGGCAAAACTTAGTGTTATATTAATGTTGTAATATTTATTATTTATTTATTTATTTACGACATTTATATGCTGCCTTTCTCACCCCGAAGGGGACTCAAAGCTGCTTACAAGTAAAAAGTAAATACAATATATTATTATTATCATAGCACAATATTAATATTATATATTACATTGTACTATAACATTATACTGTAATATTATTAGTAATATTATATTTAATATAAAATATAAAATTATAATATCATTTTATTAGTAGTAATAGTATATTGTATTACATTATAATATTATCAATATTATATGTATATACATTATATTATATTATATTATTATATTATATTATATTATATTATATTATATTATATTATATTATATTTATTATAAGCACAGTGCAGGATACAAGATGGAACTGCCTTCCTGGTGCTGGGGCGGGTGGTGGGGGGGGGGCTCCCCACTGATGACAGAGGAGGCAAGATGGAACTGCCCTCATGGCCCCTCTCTTCATTCTGATCTCAGAGCAGTGGTTGGTGCTGGGTGAGGGGCTCCCAACTGTTGACAGTATATTATATATTATATATAATACAACGTACAATATGGTGCAATATATTATATAATGCAAATAGTATAAATACTGGTGGTGTATTATATATTGTGGCATTATAATATAGTACAATATAATATATAATAATATAGTTGTATATTATATATTACCTGTAATATTACTAATAGTATTGCAATATAGTGATATAGTACAGTATAGTAATATATAATACTAATATTGTGCTGTGCTAATAATATACATTGTATATAGTAATATTGGTAACAATGTAATACAATATAATAATATAATATAATAATACATAATAATATTGTAATCTAGCAATACTATATTAAATATAATTACTACTGATAATATATAATAATATATAATGACATACTGTTTTACTGTTGTATATTTGTATATTTTAAGTTGTAATGCTTTTGATTGTGAGCCACTTTGAGTCTCCGTATAGAGAAATAAAGTGGGATATAAATAAACAAATAAAATAAAAGCAGGAATCATTAAATTAATGTAGGATAGATGGTCAAATAAAGTTCAAACTCATAGGCACCACTGCTTAAAAGCCTTTTTTCTTGCATTCCTGATAAATGCCCTCTCTGCAATGGGGAGACATAGAGAGGGATTCCTGCTGAATGTCCTAAAATTTTGGACAGGTTCATATATAGGAAAGTGCTTTTATGTCACCTTGCATTATAAAAGTGTTGTTTTCAACATAGATGTATTCCCAAGTGTATTTTGTTTTGAAATGCACAACTCTGACACTTGCAGTCATTTCTTCAAAGTAAACCCCATGCTTCTCACTTCTATGAGTTGAGTCATATCGACTTGCTTTGAGATTTCAAAACTAAACTTTTAGGGAGTCATCTATTAGCAATCTCTTGGAATGATTTGGTCATTTAATTTACTCTTGGAAGATGAGAACCAGGCATGTAGCCAGGGGGAGGGGGGGGCTTGAGGGGCTTCAGCCCCCCCCCCCCCCCCGAAATTCTCAGCGTGGTCTGCGAGAAGGCCTTACTGGTACATTATTTAAACTATTACGTTTATTCATATCATAATCTGATCATCATGCTCAATATATCCCATATGCATGGGGGTATTGGGATAATGATACAAAAGATTTGCTAGGGTAGATCCTCAGGTGTCCCCCCCCCCCCAAATCAAACTCACCACCCCCTGAATCAAAATCCTGGCTGTGGGCCTGATGAGAACGCAGCACGCACGCACACACAAAACAGGTGACTTCAATAGAATAAGTACATTTGGACAGTGATGGATGGAAGAAGGCTGTCAAGAAATGTTAATAGAATAGGGAAACAGTGGTTTGGAGAAGGCAAGTACCCAAAAATTTAATACAACACTCAAAATAATGGGAATAAATATTTTGAAATCTAAAGGCAAACAAGTTACTTGTCATAATGTCATATTAATTTGGCTCATTTGTTGCATGTCTTCCTAGCTTTTAACATTTTTTCTCATATTTTCTCTTTTAAGGAGATGACCATATCTTGGTGTCTGAAAAGGGCAGAGCTTGTATTTAAGTGTGTGAAAGGTTAGTGAACTTACATCGTGCTTATTTATTAACTATTAGATATAACAGTTCTTTTCACAGTAGGGAATGGCCACAGTTTAGTGTTTGAACATTGGAAGCAGAAGATTCAGTGCTTGGGATTTTTCATTTCATCAAGGTCACATAATAGGACTGGGGGGAAATCTGTTTTGCGTTCTTGGGTAGTTGCTACTAATTGGAACAGGTAGCACAGAGCTTGATGAATCACTCAGGCGACTCAAAGCGGTTAACAACAGCAAAATACAATGCAAAACATCATAAAAGGATTATAGATGCCAACACCAAAACAACAACAACAGTGCAGACACAACATACAACATACATCTAATCCTCTTAAAATAAAATACAAATATACAGGTACCCATAGATATATGCAACAGCAAAACAAACAAGAGCAATATAAGCACGAGTTAAACATTAGTTAAACATTAAATTAAAAAATATCAATTAAAACATTATTAGCAACAATACAACTATGTCCAAATCCAATTCAGCATCCAGAATCCCAGTCCAAGGCCTGGGTTAGCTCATATACTTTCTCTGTGTACACTGTTCACAGAAATGGCACGAACCATTTGAAACCAATTAATGTTTCCTGTTCACCTGGTGACTTTTTCTTTCTAGGTTTCATGATGGAAATGGCTTCCTGGGATGGAGGGATTTCTCGGACTGTTCAGTTCCTGGTTCCACAGGTATTAATATTAGATATTGTATTCGTTTTATTATTTGGCTATACAGCAGGCTCATTACTAGACTTTGGTCCAGATCGGTTTGACCAAAAGTGATTTGTAATATTGGTGATCCGTTATGTGTAATATCCCAAAAACAGAACGGGGAGGAAGGAACTGAAAAGCTGGGCAAAACGGATCAAGAGAGCTGGATTTATTAGCTACTGGAGAGGATGGAGTTAAGTCTGCAATATACCTGAGGCAGGGGTCTGCCACAGGGCTCCTGGAGAAGATGGGATTACCTGCAGCATCTTTTCTCCCTCCCCAGCAGCGAAGTGTCCATTTTGTTTTGGGAAAAGTTTCCTAGGCTCCTCCTCTAATGAGGACCCTGCTGGGAACTCGCTTTCCCAGCAGTATTTGCATGGGGCGGGCATTGAAAAGTCTCTAGGTTCCTCTCGGAGCATGATGGGAGTTGAAATTTGTTTCTCTCTCTCTCTCTGTTTCTCAGCCAATAAAAGGCCTGGTTGTGTCCATGCTCTGATTGGCTGAGAATGGACACAACCGGTGACTGCAATTCCCAAAACCCTCTCTTGTGGTTTGTCTTATTTTTAAAAATGTTATGGTAAAAATAATTCTAAAAAAATCAGTAGATTGGTGAATTGTTCTGAAACTTGGCAGGCCTGCAGCTGTAAATGAGGTCTAAAACTGAGGTAGGTTTCATGCAGATAGGCCTTAGAATGACTGGGGATTGAGCCTTTAAAGTTTCCCATTGTAGCCAGTGGGCCAAATCTTTGCTGAATGAAAACAGCAACATTCTTCCCAATTCAAGTAACTTCCTGGTAAACAGAATGAGGAGTTAGCCGAAAATGGACCCCGAAAAGGCATGTCTTTTGGCTGAATTGCACAAATATACTAATTTTTTGTCTCATTTTTTTAAATTGAAAGTTTAAAAAATTATTGTCTGTTCAGAATGTAAAAGACTTCCAATCCCACATTGCTATTACTAGATTTCTTGAGACTTTTTTAAACAGAGAAGATAAGCAAATGGGAATGTGGATTCAAATCTTGGAGCTTGGAACTATCATAGCCCCTAAGTGCAAGGATCGAATGTGAAGGGTAAATTACCACAGTTTAGTGTGCGCGCCTCTGACTGGTTATTAATAAAGTTGGATATTTTCCTTATAAGCCTAATACTAAATTACTGAGAACGTATCTATTTTCTCTACATGTGGCAAGAGGCCAAAATGAGACTCACAGATAATTAAATAACTTTCATCCTGGATGCCTAACAGAAGATATTCTTACCGGACATAAAACCACATTTTGTGTGTTTTGAAAGTCATCATAGTTCTTTGAAGCACCATCCATTTATTTCTTGGGGAAACTGAAGAAGCTTACTTTTCCTCCTCATCTTCCTTTATGGTGTAGTGAACAGAGTGTCTAAATAAAACGTGGTTATTGTGCAATTATGAAGGAATAAAAAAATTAGCGACTTGACTTGGGTAATCTATACAGAGCAAGAAAACATTGATTCTTTGTGTTTTTCTCTTCATTTTCCAGAGTATTTCGGAAGAAATGTTTTTCCAGCTGAGTAATATGTTGCCACAGATTTTCCGGGTCTCATCTACACTCACTCTGACATCTAAACATTAAGTCCCCTCAAATAATCCAGAAAGGAACTGCTGGAAGATAACAGAAATTTAGTTTTAATACATGAAACATCTTCAGGAACAAAAGCTTGAATGTATGGCAGATGTTCCTAACAAAAGCTGGGTCCAAAAAACAATGGCAACATCTTTATATGAGGAGAAGTGGGTGGTTTCATGTTTTTTGCTCTCCTGGCATAAGCCCTCCTAACATATTGCATGCAACTCAAGATTTGGAAGCAACTTGTTTAAAAAACATTAGAAATTGTGATATGAATGGAAGTTTACATGCCACAATATAACTTTATATCCTAGCCAAGAAATATTTATAATGTTTCAGATTGTTTGTGTTGACACTGATTTTGTATGTCATGATCAATATACTACTGAATTTTCTTACTTTGTACATGCATAGCAACTTACACAGAGAGTTGACATTTGGTATATTTCCATGCTTTCTGTAGAAATGGGTACAACTATTCTCCTCCTCTGGCTCCAACAGAGGGATTGCTGGTCCAAGCACATGTTAACTGGAAGTGATTAAAGACAAGCATTGCTGTGTGTGCATACAGTCATTTATTTATTTATTTACAATATTTATATGCTGCCCTTCTCACTCCGAAGGGGACTCAGAGCGGCTTACAAGATATATATACATACAATACATTATATTATTAGCATAGTACAATATCAGTATTATATATTACTATATTGTACTATACCATGATATTTTAATATTATTAATAATATTACATGTAATATAAAATATATAATTATAATATCATATTATTAGTATTATATTGTATTACATTATAGAGGGAGAAAATGTGGAGGCCGTGACAGACTTTGTATTTCTAGGTGCAAAGATTACTGCAGATGCAGACTGTGGCCAGGAAATCAGAAGACGCTGCCTTCTTGGGAGGAGAGCAATGTCCAATCTCGATAAAATAGTAAAGAGTAGAGACATCACACTGGCAACAAAGATCCGCATAGTCAAAGCCATGGTATTCCCTGTAGTAACCTACGGATGTGAGAGCTGGACCTTAGGGAAGGCTGAGCGAAGGAAGATAGATGCTTTTGAACTGTGGTGTGGGAGGAAAGTGCTGAGAGTGCCTTGGACTGCGAGAAGATCCAACCAGTCCATCCTCCAGGAAATAAAGCCCGACTGCTCATTGGAGGGAAGGATACTAGAGACAAAGTTGAAGTACTTTGGCCACATCATGAGGAGACAGCAAAGCCTAGAGAAGACAATTATGCTGGGGTAAGTGGAAGGTAAAAGGAAGAGGGGCCGACCAAGGGCAAGATGGATGGATGGCATCCTTGAAGTGACTGGACTGACCTTGAAGGAGCTGGGGGTGGTGACGGCCGACAGGGAGCTCTGGCGTGGGCTGGTCCATGAGGTCACGAAGAGTCGGAGACGACTGAATGAATGAACACACATTACATTATAATGTTATAAATATTATATTATATTATATTATATTATATTATATTATATTATATTATATTATATTATATTATTAGCATAGCACAGGAGACAAGGTGGAACTGTCCCCTGGCCCCCTCTCTCTTCACTCTGGCCCATTGTCTCTCTGCCACATTATATTCCTGGGCAATCTTTATCTTTCTTCACTCTGGCCCATTGTCTCTCTGCCACATTATATTCCTGGGCAATCTTTATCTTTGTGCAGTTAGAATTAATGGTAAATTAGCCACAGCATCTGAGGAAGGTAATGCAGTGGAATGGGTAACAGCAATAAAACCTCTGAAGTAAACAATTATGGCTATGTCTACCATAGTTATTGAATATGACAATAACTATGGCAATTGTGAGAGAAATGAGATTGAACACTGTGAAAGCAGCAAACTATATGGCTATCAGCCTCCTTCCAGTAGACTTAAATCAAGGAAACGTTTCATGAGAACCATCACTTCTCTAAATGTTCCTCCAGGAACAGCAAGAATATTCCTCTGGGCAACAAAATCAGGCAATTACAACTGAATGCCCCTGTCTCTCACAAAGTCTTCCTCCAGGGGCAAAACAAGAATGGGCAAATCAAAAGACAATGCCTTTCAAGTTGCCCAGTCTTCTTTATGCCCAGGAAGGAGGCTCTCATCCAGTATCAGCCATAGATTGTGGTTCCAGGTTTTAGCCTGCCACTTTTGGACTTTTGCTTGCTGAGGTGTTCTTGCGAGTATCTAAGTAGATCAGTAGTCCCCAACCTTTTTTGTTTTTTTTACCAGGGACCACTTTGATCAGGGACCACTCTCCAACATTAGTACCAAAAGGGTTACAAATTAGTTTTTGGTCAACTTTAGATTTGATTTGGGGTGCTGATTCAGAAAATGGCATTGGATAGACCACATCATCTTTAGTTTCCGATACAGAACATATGCCATGGTCAGCAACAGGGAAGGAGGTGCAGATGACGTGAAAGGAGTGGAAATAAATAATTAAAGAGGAAGGAGGCTCGCGGACCAGATTTTCATCCTCACAGCCCACTGGTGGTCCACAACCCACAGGTTAAAAATCACTGATGTAGATCTTAGGAAGCTATTTCTTGATTTAAGGCATTGGCGTGCTGGCTGATATCCAAACAGAGGGTGGGCCGGATATGTCAATGCCTTGGTCTTTTCATTACTGGCTGCTACTTCCCAATGGATGTCAGGTGGTGTGATAATAATAATAATAATAATAATATAATAATAATAATAATAATAATAATACTTTATTTATACCTCACCACCATCTACCCAAGGGGACTCGAGGTGGCTTACACGAGGCCAAGCCTGATAATACATACATCAGTAAATAAACACAGCAATAAAATAAGAGGGGGGAAAAGAATATATAAAAATAAAAATACAATTTAAAAAAACATTTTAAAAACATATCAGCAATAAAACAAAACATTTAGAAACACAAGGATCCAACACCGTGGGCAGGGCCAAATCTAATAGATTAAAAATTTAAAACACTCGGTGTGAACAGTAAAATGAATCTAAACAGGGGTTTTTAGAGGGTAAGGCAGGGTTGATTGAGTTCTACCCAACAGGTAGAATAAAGTGCTTCCAGAGGACATTTTGCAGAGAATTGGTCAGAACAGTGAATTATTGTTTATTCAGGGAAGGCGCATTGGAACAACCAAGTTTTCAAGCTCCTCCTAAAGACTGCCAGTGTGGGGGCTTGCCTAATATCCTTGGAGAGTGAGTTCCAGAGTTGAGGGGCCACCTCAGAAAAGGCCCTCATCCTGCGTCCTGCGAAGGGGGTGGGAGCGAGAGCGAGAGCAGGGCCTATCCGAACGATCGAAGAGATTGCATGGGTTTGTAGATAGAAATGTGGTCACGCAGTTAGGCGGGTCCCAAACCATACAGAGCTTCGTAGGAAAGAACCTGCACCTTGAATTGGGACTGGCAAATGAACGGCAGCTAACTATCATTTCTCCAGTGGTGTGGGGCATAGACATCCTATGATAATGTGGCTTGTCTCATTAAGAGCCACATCCACTATTTTAGCATGGAGAGATGTGTTCCACACTGGTCATTCATATTCAGCAACAGAGTAGCAAAGTGCAAGGGCAGATGTCTTCACTGTGTCTGGTTGTGATCCCCAGGTTGTGCCAGTCAGCTTTTGTATGATATTATTTCTATCACCCACTTTTTGCTTGATAGGTCACCAGAAGCTACTTGCGACAAATGGAGCGAAGGCGTATGTATTATTTGAATAAATATATGCTGCACGTAATACCCAGCATGCTGACAACCACAGTGGTACAGTTCGCTTTTCTTGGTTATCTGAAATAAAGCTTTGCTACCACAAGTGAGCTTATTTTCTGAACTAAGTAAGCCTGCACCTGACAATTGGGGTTACAGCTGTGATGAATTTACTTTGGGCAGCCTGCTGATGTCAGTAGTGAAGCAGCCAAGGACACCCTTTGAAATATAAAGATAGGTCAATCAAATATAGCAGGCTGCCTATTGGAGAACAGGAGGCATTCAAAACATGGTCCTCAACAGTTTGAGCAGAGCCTATTTCCATTCCTTCCTGACCCAACTGCTCTCAGGCTTTAGTTTCATGTCCCAAATCTTTTTCTGTTTCCAAAAATAAGCCACTGCTGCCATGTTGGAGGGAGAAAAACAAGAAGGGGAGTATTTTTAGGGCTATTAATTCTGATCACATGCCCAGGAAGTGAACAGAAAAAATCCTTGCACAAAGACCACTTATCACTATGTCCTGTGAAGCCACTCTTCATTTCACATTCCCTGCTTTGGTCCTTCTGGGCTTTCTGGCGGAGATTGCATTTTTGTATCCAGTGGTGAACCGAACAAATGGCAACCTCATGGACAGAGGATGGGGATCTCTCTTATCCAAGTCCCTGGCTGGGATGTCAGGAGAAAGTTCTGATGTCAACTGGGAGACTGACTATTTGCTAGGAATCAAGAGACAACGGAGGCTTTACTGCAACGTGGGCATTGGGTTTCATCTCCAGATATTTCCAGATGGACAGATAAGTGGTGTTCATAATGAAAATCAATACAGTGAGTTGCATCACAATGTGCAGGAGTGGGGTTGATGTCATGTAATTGATACTATTAGATGAAATGCATCTGTTGCCGTTTAAAATGTTTTAGAATCAATCAGCACCTGAACTATCCAGGCTAAAACATACCCTGAATACTTGGACAAAATTAGATATCAACCTATTTTTATTTCGCTTGACTTTACAGTCTTCAAAAAGCAAGGCGCCTGCAACAATCTCTCCCATGCTCTTCCACCACCACCACCTCCTCCTTTCCAGGTAGATTAATTTTCCTGAGGCTGGCTTAGTTTTGAATGCCTGTTTACAAATAGCTCCAAAACACAGAGGAATGTTCAAACATGGCCTCAAAACTGTAGTGTTGTTTTTTTATTGTAATTTACAGGTTTAAAAGTTAATCACCAGTTTTGCCAATTAGTTGCCTAAAGTATAGATCATATTTAAATAATTTACACTCATTTATTTGGTAATCCATATGGTGGTGGTTTCAAGAGATCGTTGTAAATGTAAATGAATTTGGAAATTTATTTTGAACTTTTATTATTTGTCTTAAATATATTGTTCACTTCTCTGATTCCGGGAGCGAAAGAGTATTTTATAACATCATGACACACTTGCAATACTATACTGGCTCAATAGACAAAATAATACCTGGTTAACATTTCTTAGAGAGAAATAATAAGATAAAATAATGTATAATGAGCAGGAGTGGCTCAACCCATTACACAAAGTAAGCATTTGCAGTATAGGTGATTTTGCCCAGGGGCACTCTTGAGGCGCTCTTGGGGGAAAATAGACCTTGACATATGCGAGTTGTCGTTATTGGGATGTATAGTTCACCTACAATCAAAGAGCATTCTAAACCCCACCAATGATGGTATTGAATCACATATGGCACACAGAACTCCCACGACGAACAGAAATATATATATCAGTGATTGGTTGGGGGGTGTGCCAAAATACTGTTTACTTACCATTGAAAATTACCTAGGGCTGCCTCTGATAATGAGATATTGACAAGCTGGAATGTGTCCAGAGGAGGGTGACTAAAATGATCAAGGGTCTGGAGAATAAGCCCTATGAGGAGTGGCTTAAAGAGCTGGGCATGTTTAGCCTGAAGAAGAGAAGGCTGAGAGGATACATGATAGCCATGTATAAATACATGAGAGGAAATCACAGGGAGGAGGGAGCAAGCTTGTTTTCTGCTGCCCTGGAGACTAGGACGTGGAACAATGCTTCAAACTACAAGAAAGGAGATTCCACCTGGACATTAGGAAGAACTTCCTGACTGTGAGAGCCGTTCAGCAGTGGAACTCTCTGCCCTGGAGTGTGGTAGAGGCTCTTTCCTTGAAAGCTTTTAAACAGAGGCTGGATGGCCATCTGTCAAGGGTGCTTTGAATGCAATCTTCCTACTTCTTGGAAGGAGGTTGGACTGGATGGCCCACGAGGTCTCTTCCAACTCTATGATTCTATAAATCTATACTCACCCCAAAAACAGTGTCTAATTTTATTGGCAGAATCAACTTAGGATACCCCTTTCCTATTAGATATGCTGTCCTTCAGGTTATTGCAACAATCTGTACTGCTTTGGTTTCTAAAAGAAATTATGCTGTTAAACTGAAAACAATTTAATGCCACACTTTAAAAAAATTAAGAATGATTAATACAGTAAACAAATCATAGGAAATGCAATAGTTATATTAATAATAATAATAATAATAATAATAATAATAATAATAATAATAATCTTTATTTATATTCTGCCACCATCTCCCCAAAGGGGACTTGGGGCAGCTAACATGAGGCCAAGCCCGAAACATACAATGCAGCAAAATAAAATACAAAACAACAGAAAAGTTACATCACAACAAAATACATAAAGTAACAAAATAAAATAAACAGTGCAAAATAACAATGAAAGTTGAATGCAAAGGGCGGGCCAAATGCACAAGAGAAAATGATAAAAGCCTGGATGAGATAGGAATAGAAAAAATGTATTTGTAAGGGACGAGCCAAGAAGGAGGAAACAGTGGGGTTCGGCCTTCATTAAGGACAGGGGAAAGTGCATCATGAGGACGACTGTAGATGGAAACAGACAAAAACTCGTTAAACGGCCACTCTCTGAAAGCACATCAGAAGAGCCAAGTTTTTAGCTCTTTCTTAAAGGCTGCTAGGGTGGGGCCTTGCCTAATCTCACCAGGTAGCGAGTTCCAAAGTCGGGGGGCCACAGCGGAGAAGGCTCTCTCCCTCATTCCCACAAGACATGCCTGTGATAGAGGAAGGGGCGAAAGGAGAGCCTCTCCAGAAGATCGAAGAGATTGTGTAGGTTTGTGGTAGGAGATGCGGTCACAAAGGTAGGCAGTTCCCAAACCATTCAGGGCTTTATAGGTGATAACCTGCACCTTGAATTGGGACCAGAAAATGAACGGCAGCCAATGAAGCTCCTTGAACGGTGGATTGATTGCTCCCTGTAGTTTGCCCCAGTTAATAGTCTGGCTGCTGAACGTTGGACCAGTTGGAGTTTTCGGGCCGTCTTCAAGGGGATCCCCACGTAGAGTGCATTGCAATAGTCCAGTCTAGTGTACACCCTTAAGGTACAAAATAAGGTACACCCATAAGGTACATGAAAGGTCAGTTACCCCCCCCCCCCCACCCATAGTATTTTCTTAGAGCTAAGGAGGGACACAGCAACAATTATGACTATTCTGCCATACCTAACTTAATCCTCTGAAACACTTTTATTGTGGAATTCAATAGTATTAATATTATTTGTATGTAATGCAGAATGCATCAAATTTACACACAAGTGAGTGCCTTTGATTAAGAATAAAGCCCCTTTTTCTCTCACTGAAAACCATGATGAACAATAATACAACAATAATACAACTACAACCCAATAATGTTAAACTTTGGGGAATCATACACTGAAGAACTATGTCCCAATGACCTAAATCATACTGACCTCATCATAAAACCCTGGTGAAGAGTCTCACTTCACTGGACTTCTCTCTCGGTGACACTTTTCCATCACATGGAGAAAGCGTTGCCATTGTGGGGAGGGCCCGTGTGGGTTCCAATGGAGTCAGTTCAACACAAGACATCTTCCGTGTTGCTGGGGAAAGTGTCCAGCAATGCTTTCTCCCCATTTGAGGGTGTGGTCTACGTTGGAAGTCACATGATGTTGTGTGATGTCCAGTATTGACCTCTGTCTCTTAGGACACTAAAATCACCCTATCTAATGAGGTGTAGTCACCAGTTGGGTAATCAAGAAAACATTAATTAGTGGACAATCCTTTTACTTAGCATCAACTATTTAGTCAGTATTACATAATGGTTTTTTAAGATTAAAAAAACCTGGTTAAGATCCCACTTCAGAAGATTTCTGTGTCTCACATAGCTATCGCCTCAAAAGCTCACTTCGTATGCAGTGCATACCCACAACCAACACATCAATTTCCATGTTGATATGGAGCAGGGGATTGAGCCAGGGTGGCTCAGCTTTATTCCTGTAGCTGGATGTGCTGTGACAGAGGCATCTGGAGATCCTTGTAAACCCTCCTTGCAGAGAGTTCAGCTACAGAGAAAGAGCCTCTCCCACAAACAACAGAGAAATTGCATTGTGGGGCTTGGATGCTGTTAACACTGTGAGTTCAGGCTGATTTTAGTCCTTAGGGGGTCATAACAGAATACCAACTTATGCATCAATCATAAAAGTGAATTGCGATGCCATAAGTTCAATGTACAGATGCCATCATGATTCACTTGAAGAATGCTGGCCAACGTTACATAAAAGTTTTAATTTTATCTATATTTATTGTATTAGTTTTATTCATAAAGCAAGAGAAAAATCCATGTTTTTTGCCTCTCTCTTCTTTAGGTCTCTTTGAACTATCATCAGTAGAGCGAGGCGTGGTTAGTCTTTTTGGTATGAGAAGCAGTCTCTTCGTTGCAATGAACAACAAGGGGAAATTGTATGGCTCAGTAAGTATGGCTGAGGTTCATCTTTCACCAAGTCTTTATCTGTGAAATACTTGAATATTTGCATCTTTTAAAAGTGATATCAGAATCAGCTATTTTGATAAGTATTTAAATAAGTTTAACTGGTAACAAATACCTTGATACACTACAGATCTACTATATTGTATGATATAATATATGAGTACAATTAATAGATTTATAGCTGAATATTATATTATCTTGGATTCAATTCACATAAAAATTAATATCAGTTGATCACTTGCTGTGCATTATTAGTTGAGTGTGTGAGCAAGCCCTCCATGAAAAACATTTGAATAGTTAAAAATAAAACAAATCTCAAAATGAAAAAAAAAACACTGTAGGAATACACTTACAAACCATATTGAGATATTTTTTAGAACAGTCAGCCTCTTCATCAAACAGAACTGGACATCGCCTGGTAATGATCAACTACATGGATTTTGGCTAAAATATCCGACTAGCCTACATGGAAAAATGCCCCAACAATTCAATGAGATGCTGCAAAAAAGAAGTATCAGTGAATGGTTAACAACTGGGAGAACATATCTGATACAAAAGGATCCAGCAAAAGGAGCAGCACCAGGAAACTACAGGTCGATAACATGTCTGCCCACTATGTTTGAACTATTGACCGGCACCATAGCTGACAGAATTCAAGATTATCTTGAAGAAAATAACATCTTGCCAGATGAACAGAAAGGTAACAAACGGAAAAGCGGGGGCACAAAAGATCAGTTATTAATTGACAAAATGATTCTGGAGAACTGTAAAAGCCAAAAAACCAATCTTCACATGATGTGGATTGTCTACAAAAAAAACCTTTGACTCACTCCCACACAATTGGATCATCAAGTGCCTAGACACCATCAGGATTTGTAAAAATGTTGGCACTTTTATTGAAAATATGATGAAGCACTGGAAAACTGAACTGTTTGTTGGAAATGTTTGTTGGACCATCTCCTCAGCTGTTGCAAGAAAATTGCACAGATGGACTACAAACAAACGCACAACTCTGTGGCCCAGATGATTCACTGGGACTTATGTCACAAGTACCACCTGTCAGCAGTAAAGAATTGGTGGGATCATAAACCTGCAAAGTTCGTGGAAAATAAACATGCAAAAATACTGTGGGACTTTCGAATCTAGACTGACAAAGTTTTGGAACACAATACACCAGACATCATGATTGTAGAAAAGAAGAAAGTCTGGATTATTGATGTCACCATACCAGGTGACAGTCGTATTGAGGAAAAACAACAGGAAATACTCAGCCGCTATCAAGACCTCAAAATCGAACTGCAAAGGCTCTGGCATAAACCAGCACAGGTGGTCCCAGTGGTCATCGGCACACTGGGTGCCGTGCCAAAAGATCTCAGCCGGCATTTGGAAACAATAAACATTGACAAAATCACGATCTGTCAACTACAAAAGACCACCTTACTTGGATCTGTGCACAACATTCAAAAATACATCACATAGTCCTAGATGCTTGGGAAGTGTTCAACTTGTGATTTTGTGATATGAAATCCAGCATATAGATCTCATTGGCTGTGACATACTGTGTTTTTATGTCAGTAAAATAATAATAATAATAATAATAATAATAATAATAATAATAACAATAATAATCTTTATTTATACCCCCGCCACCATCTCCCCAAAGGGGACTCAGGGCGGCTAACATGAGACCAAGCCCAGAATTACAATACAGCAAAATAAAATACAACGAAGCAAAGAATAGTTTCAAAATAAGATACATAAAATAGCAAAATAAAATAAACAGTTACAAAATAACAAGATAAAGAAATAGAACACAATGGGTGGGCCAATTGTATCTCCTACTGCAATCTCATATTTCAGTAGGAGATGCAATAGATCTGCTTATAAGTAGTTTTCACTTAGAATATTTATGGAATTTTAAAATATATTCCTTTCAGTGTGTGTTGTATTATTCACTGAGTTTGTATACTTCTGGTATATACTTCAAAGAGCTTAATATCTAAAATATGACAGTAACTAAACAAAAGAGGGGTGGGCTAGAACTGGCATGACTTTGAAGAAATATTGCTACATAATACAACCAAACTGTACTTTTACCCCCTTCTCTATTCAGGCAAGTTTCCAAGATGAATGCCAATTCAAAGAAACCCTTCTTCCGAACCACTACAATGCCTATGAATCATACCTGTACAAAGGTTTTTATATTGCACTCAGCAAATACGGGCGAACGAAAAGAGGAAGCAAAGTCTTCCTTGCTCAGACAGTCACACATTTTTTACCTAGACTATGAAGACTAATGGGTGCTCAGCAAAACTCTTATTTTGCACATGTGGACATTCTTTCAGGTAAAAGATTCCTGTACATTTTCTGTTAATATTTATGTATATTTGGGATCTGTTACACAAACCAGAAACAGCTTAAAAATAGATTAACTGCAATTTAAACTTATAACGAAGCAACAAATGATTGACAAATCAAAATCTCTAGAGAGAGAAAAATGCATATTCTCAGGTGCCTATTAAAGGCAGCATCATTTATTTGTTAAATTCAAAACGTTTTTTAAAATATAGGATGTGCACCACTCCAGGTTTGGGACTTCCACAGGCTCCTAGAGCCATACATATGTCAAGAGAAAGAGCCATGAAAGCCTTCGACAACACAGCCATTTAACTTCATTACTCGTACATCGGAACAAGGAAAGAAAGATGAAATTTGTTTATTATGTGTACAACATGATATGTGAAAATTGTAAAAATGTATACTTTGAATATGCACTACTTTGATGCATATTTTGAATATGAATTGCATCTCTCGTAGGGATGTGCATGGTGACATTTTTCAAAATGGGAATCTGGGAAATTTGGCTGATTTGACAACTGAATGTCTGAAAACCGGGCAGGTGACGGGGCTCGAATTTACTCCGCTGAAACACACCAAGTGGCAGAGCTGCTTTCGGTTGCTTTCAGCTGCATCATGGCATCAACCACATGTGCGCAGGAGTTTACTCAAATTGCACATCCCTTATCGCTTCATAACTTGTACGAAGGTCAAATGAAAAGTAATGTCTCCATCTTCATAACTCCTCAACAGATAGCAGTACTGGTATGCGGCAGGTACTGACTTGTTCAGTAGACTCTCCTCTACAGTTCAATTTTGGTGGAAAGCCTTAGCATTGAATGGTTGTGTTGTTAAAGTGCAAAGTATGGAACCCTGCGCATATGGTCGGTCAATGTGACTTAAGCAACATGCACTCATTGAATTCTTGACAGCAGAAGGTGTCACCCCAAAGGAGATTCATCAGAGAATGCAAGCTGTTTATAGTGATTGTGTTGATCTGGGTACTGTGCATCATTGGACGAGTAAGTTTAAAGGTGTTGACGTGGGAACATTGACTTGCATGACAAAGAGTTGGACATCCTGTGACAGCAACCACCGAGTTTCACAAGGAAAAGATTGACAGATTGATTCAGAACGATCGTCGTATCACTCAGAGAGAAATTTCAAGCATAATTGGCATTTTACAAGAATGTGTGGGTCACATTATTGCTTTGCTTGGCTATCGGAAGATCTGTGCACGATGGGTACCCAGGATGCTGACACTGGTTCCAGAAACAGAGTGTCGACTTCTTCCGTGACAGCGTCATAAAACTTGTTCATTGTTGGCAGAAATGTATCCAATTGTCTGATGATTATGTCAAAAAGTGAATAGTGGTAGTTAAAGAGCACACTCTAAGGATTGTTTCTGTGTTTGATTTATTGAAATATTCCCATCCAAACCCAAGTAACGAAGGTGGAGGCATTACTTTTCATTCAACCCTCGTAATAAATGTAAACATACGCAGATGGGCATAACTAAATTACCATTTAGATATCTTCAAACACTTGAAATTTAGTTTTTAGTACATTTGAAACTAATTTGCATGGACTTTCCAGTTTAAGAGGAGCCTTTTCACATTTCTGGTTGTTGCAAAGGGTTCTGAGGCACAGCCCATGGTCTGTGCTATGACTCCTTGTGGCACTACTCAGGGCAGCTGTGTCTCACTTTTACCCATAGTAATGCAATGGCATCCTTTCTAAAACACATTCCTGTTGGGAATAAGTTATCCCTAAACTCATCTGTAGCTGCATATTAAATGGAACCTTAATAGCATTAAACATTATTAGTGTTTAATTCACTCTTTTGGGAGGAAATTTGGTTTACTATTTTGGATCTTGCCACGGGGAGATCCCAGACTTCCTGCAAATAGAATAAAAATTTCAAGAACATTTTCAGAAATTTCTTCGGTTTTATGGTCTAGTTACTTAATATAAAAATGGAACATGAATTCCAAAACAGGTTATCTTGGTTTTTTTATATATAGTATTTGACAAAAATGCATTATTTTTAAGTGTTTCTGTGGAAGATTTGCAGGATTCAAACTACAAGAAAGGAGATTCCATCTAAACATGAGGAAGAACTTCCTGACTGTGAGAGCTGTTCAGCAGTGGAACTCTCTGCCCCAGAGTGTGGTGGAGGCTCCTTCTTTGGAGAATTTTAAGTAGAGGCTGGATGGCCATCTGTCGGAGGCGCTTTGAATGCAATTTTCCTGCTTCTTGACAGGGGGTGGGACTGGATGGCCCACGAGGTCTCTTCCAACTCTATGATTCTATTATTCTCTTCTCCCTCCATGTCTTGACCTCCCATCCCAGAAACGCAAGTATATGGACACAAATTTGCTCTTCTGTTTATACAGCCTTTCAAAGAATACCAAGGATGCCACATTCCCTACATTTGAGACTTATTTTGAGAGACCCTAATTCAACATGTGCCATAAATATCTGTGTCCAGAAGCCTTGAGATGTTTAAATGGGTAAGGGACTCTCCTAAATTTGAAACAGGGTTTAGCCTGATGTCACGAGTTTGGAATTTTTACAGCCATCTCACAGATGAATTGCGTGTTCAAGGCAAAAGGTCCAGCTTCTCCAAACTCTTAACAGTCTTAAATGATCCATTGCAGTGAATAAATACATGTTTTCCGGTATTCTGTTGCACATGAATTTGTTGCATTTCTATGTCACTCTGCCTATTAGAATTTCAAAAATGGATTTTAATAGTATATAGGTAAAAGGTAAAGGTTGTCCCCTGACATGAAGTCCAGTCGTGTCAGACTCTGGGGTGTGGTCAGAGGCAGCCCTAGGTAATTTTCAATGGTAAGCAAACAGTATTTTGGTGCCCCCCCTCCCCCCACCAATTATTGATGTATATTTTCTGTTCGTCGTGGGAGTACTGTGTGCCATATTTGGTTCAGTTCCATCATTGGTGGAGTTCAGAATGCTCTTTGATTGTAGGTGAACTATACATCCCAGTAACTACAACTCGCATATGTCAAGGTCTATTTTCCCCCAAGAGCGCCTCAAGAGTGCCCCTGGGCACAATCAACTATACTGCAAATGCTTACTTTGCGTAATAGGTTGCTGAGGCTTCCACCGGACTGCTAGGGCTGTTGTGAGCCGAGGGGGCGCTCCTTAAGTGGTGGTCAAGGGGCATTTACAGAGGCACCTCTGCACCCCAGGCAAAAAAAAGTGTACTGCGACCACTTACTTTGCGTAATGGATGAACCGCCCCTGGGTGTGGTGCTCATCTCCATTTCTAAGCTGAAGAGCTGGCATTGTCCGTAGACACCTCCAAGGTCATGTGGCCTGCATGACTGCATGGAGCGTCGTTACCTTCCCGCCGGTACCTATTGATCTACTCACATTTGCATGTTTTCTAACTGCTAAGTTGGCAGAAGCTGGGGCTGTCAGCGGAAGCTCACACCACTCCCTGGAATCGAACCTGCGACCGTTCGATCAACAAGCTCAGTATATAGTATATAGCATATAGTACATAGTATATACTATATACTATATACTATATAGACGAGCTGCTAAATTTAAAAGATTCAACTACAGTAGACTCATTGAAGCAAATGGGGCTTTTTAATCTTACTTAATAGGCTATTTTTTTTAATTCAGACAGGCTTTTTAAGAAGGAGATTTTTAAGATCAAGTCAGGGGGTGCTGTCGTTTTAGCTATAAATAAATTTTAATCAGTTTAAAGAATTTTTAACTGTTTATTTTAATACTACTAATAATTCTATTTTAATGTTTGTATGTTTTTTGCAGTTTAAAATTGTATTGCATTGGGTTTAATGCTAGCCTCTTTGACCCTCTTGTTTGGAATAATAATAATAATAATAATAATAATAATAATAATAATAATGTAGATTCTGAAATACAACACCATCTGAGCTCTGCGAGTGCAGCATTCTTCCAAAGGAAGCACAGAGTGTTTGAGGACCGGGACATCCGTAGGGATAGCAAGGGATAGATATTGTCCGCCCAGCCCTGCTATATGCCTGCAAAACGTGGACTATCTACAGATATCACATGCAACTTGTGGAATGATTCCATCAGCATTGCCTCTGAACAATCCTGCAAATCTCTTGGGAAGACAAGCAGACAATTGTCAGCGTGCTGGAGGAAGCAAAGACCACCAGCATTGAAGCGATGGTCCTCCACCATCAACTCTGCTGGACCAGCCACGTTGTCCGGATGCCCAACCACCATCTCCCAAAGCAGTTGCTCTACTCCAAACTCAAGGACGGAAAACAGAATGTTGAGGACAGAAAAAGAGATTTAAAGATGGGCTTAAAGCCAACCTTAAATACTGTGGCATAGACACTGAGAATTGGGAAGCCCTGGCCCTTGAGTGCTCTAGCTGGAGGTCAGCTGTGACCAGCAGTGCTGTGAAATTTGAAGAGGTACAATTGGAGGGCAAAAGAGAGAAATGTGCCAAGAGGAAGGCGCATCAAGCCAGCCCAGACCAGGACCACCTTCCACATGGAAACCGATGCCCTCACTGCAGGAGAAGATGCAGATCAAGAATAGGGCTCCACAGTCACCTATGTATCCACCACCAGAACACCGATCTTGGAAGACAATAATCCTCGCACTATGAGAGATTGCCAAAGAAAGTAAGTAAAGTAAGTAATGTAGATTGTGACTGCATTTTCCCCACCTCTGCTTTAAGGTATGTTTCTACAATCCAAGCCCTTGCAGAGCTTATGGACTAGTGCCATTATCACACGAGATGGACTGATGGGATTTGTCACCCAAATGCCAGATGATACGTTATTTGTGGGCTTTATTTACTTACTTAGGCAATCCTTCATTGTCTGAGTATGATGCCTTCCAAGTAGATATGAAAAAACATGGATGCGCACATCCTCTGGGTATTTGAGTGTATGACAGTAGAGAAGGCAGCAACGGGCTCTAGGTGCCAGAAAGACAGTAAGTGATGGTGGTGGTGGATGCTTCTGTTCATCCATTTGCTCTGTAGAACCTGCTTGCTAACTTGTGATTGGTGGTAGTAGAGAATAGCTTCTCCAGGGACATGGTTATTGCCCCTAATTCCCTTCCCACCTTCCATCAAGATACCCCAGCAGCCATATTTCTAAGCTTTGGCCCACCTTCCCACACATTTCCAAATTCATACTAGACCTACTCCACTTAGGCAGAAAAAATGAAATGCAAAGAT